AGCTCTCCTCTGCGCCGTGTCGCGTCAACAGGTGCAGCAGCGGGGTGAGGAGGACCTGCAAGCTGAAGTGCGCAAAGCGAAGCAGCTAGCGGCGGCATCGGCCGAACATATTGGGAGGCTCACGGAGGACCTGGACGCCGCCAGGCTGCATGCGCGGCGATTGGAGGAGGATCTGAACGCCGTGAGGCTGCGTGCGCAGCGTATGGGAGAGTTGGAGGACGACCTGGAGGCCGTGGAAGCGCGCGCGGAGGGCGTCTCCCGGCGCGTCGTGGTGGGTCCACGGGGCCACGCTGGATGAGGGGGGTGACTGGCGATTATGGGTCCCGATTCGTCGTTCTCGTACTTCAACGTTGGGCCGTCGAGAATGAAACTCAGGAATCGTCGACACCCAGTGCATGACATTTGGCAGCGGGTTGTCCTCCCGGCTGTCGGGCGCCTGATCTCTTATGTCGGGCTCCTCTGTCAGCGAAATCATTTCGCTAGCAACAACGTCATTACCAGCAATTTGTCATGTATGTTAACACAATGTAGGTACCATGTGTCACTATCTGTCCAAACGCTGCGGCGCTTATATTGGTGCAGGAGCTGGAGGACGAGCTGAAGGCGGAGCGCGAGGATGCGGCGCGTATTGCCGCCGGCTACGAGGCCCAGGTGTGTTATCCCGCGGGCCAAGGCCAGCCATTGCAAAACGGGGAACGACTAAGCTTGGTGACATGCTCATTCCGCCGTAAGGTTGTAGGATGGGACGCACTAATACGTCTCTCCTTTGCCACCCCGACATTTCAGGGATGGTTGGTAAAAACATCCCCTAAAGGGGATGTTCCCCTTCGGGGATGAACTTTAGTTCCCCTAGTTTTACCACTACCGGAATACCCAACTGATGATTGATGCTGTCCTCACAATCCCATTCCCGCCCATAGTTGAGCACCTTGCGTGCCGAGGTCAAGCTGCAGCTGCAACTTGTGGTGGACGCATACAGCGAGGAGCTTCGAACGCTGCAGGCTCAGCTGTCGCTGATGGAGAAGGCCCAGCAAGATGTGCCCAGGGGCCTGCGCAATGCAGCTGGGAGCCATGCAGCGGCGGCTTCCGTGCCCATTGCAGGCGAGGCGAGCCGGGTCGAGGTTTGGCGCGTGGCCTATGAGGTGCGAGCAAGTGTGTCGCAGGGCTATGGGCTTACCAGGGTTTAATATGCCCATGGCGGGGATCAGCAACCGCTCGCTGGGAGAGCACCAGGAGGCCGGGGTCGCGCCGGCCTGTTCGTTGCGATTCGTCTAGTCGGCAGTATCCTGGGATTGATCTAATTGCAAGGTCTATCAGGGTTTAGGTTATGTATGGGGCTCCTGATGATGGACTATGGACACGCGCACACTGTGGGAGCTTATCTCATTGTTTGATCTTCGTTTTTAAATTTCCGGTATCGTTTGTGTCGCATCCACAGGAAGCCCAGGGTGAAGTGGTGTCGGTGAGAAGCCAGTTGGAAGCCGCTCAGGAGGAGAATGCACGGCTGCAGGTGGGTGGCCAGACTGGCACGTTTGACATTGCCATTGCCCCATGTGATGGACCATATACCTGAAGCAAATGGCGTGTGGTAACAGTGAACAGCATACAAGGCGTATGAAACCCGCGAACAACATACAAGGCGTGTGGAAATCGTGAGGGGAATTGCGCGGGTGTAAGGGCGGACTTGATCCTTCCTTTCTTGCATATGATCCATATGATCATACTTCTAGACTCTCGAACTCAGTGGCTGCGCGGTAGCTCTTCTCGCTATCTAGATGTCAAGGCCGGCCCCGCCTTCAACATCACTATCCTCGTAGCAGCGGGTTGGGATGCAGATTCCTACGTTGTAACGACAGGTGGGCGATCCTTGTCATTTTGTCTGTCCTCATTTTGCACACGGTCCTACCCTGTTGGTCGTCGCCATGTCCTTGACAGGGTCAGCTACAACGGCTGACTGCGGCCGCCGTCGCCAGGGCCTTGGACTCCTCCACGTCGGAGGCGGGGCAGCGGAAGCAGCAGGCCGCCTTGGCCTCAGCGGCGGAGCTAGCAGCGGCCTCGCGGCCCCGCATCGGCGGCACCTACATTGCCACCGGCACCAACACCACCCGCAGCTGCAGCCTCCAGGAGCCCCTGCGGAGACCCTTCTCCTCATCCATCTCCGAAGTAGAGCCACTCGATGGCTTCGCTGCCGCTGCCAGCAACTTGTCATCTGCAACCCCATCACAGGATGTCGCGGACTCAATTGTGGGCTTGGTGCGTCCCCCCCCGCGAAGTGTCCGAGAACGGACTCCAGCATCTACTCATGCGCATGGCAGGGCTGCCGCCTGGGCGGCGGCAGCCGTCGCCGAAGCTATGCCCCTGCGGGCCGCCCCTCGAGCCAGGTCCGTTGCGGTGGAGACCGAGAGGATCGTGTCCCAATGCCAGCGTGAGCTAGCCCAGCCGCCACTGGGCAGTGAAGCGGGTGGAAGGGGCGCGGGTGCGCCAGGTCGGATCTGCGGGTCGGGCCCAATGCTAGCCGACGCGTCAGCGGCCACAGAACAGCCACAGCTTCGACAGCAGGGCGCTCAGACGGAGCCAGTGGCGGCTGACAGCACCGGGCAGGTGAGCGCGGGTATGTGTGAGCAGGTGTGGTGGTGTGGTTGGGGCAGCCTGCAGATAGGTGCGCCGGCGTGATTTTGAGTGGACTGAGAGGGTTACGAAGCACATGCGATGGACACCATTATGGCTGCCGCCCCTTTGCCGTCGACTTGCACTCCTTCCCTATGTCCGATTCCACGTACCGTCTGGTAATGTATCATGCCTTTATGAGTACCGGAAGTCGCCGCACCGGACTGTGCCGAATGCCCTGCGCCGTGCTTAAATTGTTGACTTCTTCGCCTCCTATTCTGATTTGTTCCTTTTCCTTGCTGCAGCACGCCGCCTTGTCAGCCGATGATGAGCGGGGCGCGGGCCGAGTGGTGATTGTCGTTCGTCAGACGCCACCCGCGGTGATGCAAGGCGCCACGGATCCCCTCCGTAGCAACGGTCGACCTGAAACCCACAGCAATGCAGGCGCTAGCCCTTACGATGCAGGCTCGCTGTCGTCCAAACCTGAGGGCGATTATCGTGATAGCCGGGGCTGCAGCCATCCGGGCCGAGATCGGTGGGAAAAGGAGGACTGCTACGGCCGATTGCCGGGTCGCAATCGCAGCGCCGGCCGGCGTGGGGATACCTGGACTCGCACGCCACCGCGGCCCTATGGTAAAGGAGGAGAGCGGCGCCGCAGCCGAACTCCTAGACGGTCCTACAGTAGCGATGATGAGGGCCGATGGCGGTGGCGCTCATCAGACCGCGGCCGCAGCGGGGAAAAGGGCTACCGGCGCCGGCGGCATTCTGCTGGCTCCAGCCGCAGCGGTTCGGATGCGGGACGGAGGGCCGACCAGGCCCGATGCAGCTGGGACGAGGCCTCGGTTTACCGTATGTCCGATGCGACATGCACCAGCAACGCAGACGACATGCGTTCCGGGCAGAAACCGGGCCGGCGGCGCAGCCTGAGCTTTGAGAACGTGGCCGTCGCCAAGTCACCGCCTAAATTTCCCCACATGCGCAGCGACAGGCGCGTGGGCGGCTTGGAAGCCGCGGCACGTGTCAGTAATGATGGCAGCGTACGGAGCGTGGGAGTCGGAAGTGAGAGTGTCGCCGGCGGCGGCGGTGCCGATGGAGCCCGTGGCACTGCCGGACGGAAAGATGTGGCAAGCGTGGGCAGTGGGGATCCGGACGGCGAGGGTGTAGACACCGGGGCTCTGAACAGCCACGTCGCCTCGTTGCAGGAACAGCTGGCGGCGCTGACGCACCAGAATTCCATAATCACCTCTCAGGTGTGCATTCTGAACCTGTGTGGCGTGGTCGCAATGCTGCACGAACACGTATTGCTGTTACGCGTTCTCTGCCGCATGTGGTGTGTCGCGCAAAACCGGGAGTTTACGTGGCACGGCCAGCTGAATGTGCTGGGCGCTGCTCTACCCCACTTCTGCTGCATTTGACCGCAGGTGATTGAGATCCGGCTGCGCCAGGAAGCACAGCAGCAGGAGCAGCAGGACCGTCTCGGCCTCGACCCCGTCTCCCCGCTGCATTCCCCCTCCCACAGCGTCCGTGACGCCTCGCGTCGCGGGTCACCCATGCGGGTGAGCTTCCAGGTCGAGCCGGAACAGCAGCTACAGTGCTCAATACCCGCTCAAATGCACTCCCACGAGCCCAACCTGACAGTCGTGCCGCTGTCGCCGTACGAAGCTGTCGCAGCGCGGATTGCCACCGGCGCCGCTGGGCCGTCCAGCGCGTCCGGCAGCAGCCCCGTCAGCGGCGCGTACTCTGCGGCCCCGTCGTCATCTGCGTGGGCTCCACTTTCCGCTGGCGGGGTCCACAGCTCTGTTGAAGTTGATGTCTATGCGCCGCAGGGCCGCAGCCGCCTGACTCGCTCCATGGAAGATCCTCTTCCAATCGCGTCACCCTACCGCGACTTGCTGAGCCCCCAGCGGGCCGCACCTCCAGTGCCACCGCGCAGCAGTCCCCCGGTCTACACCGCGGCCGACCGTGCAGCGGACCTGGCCGCGGCGATGGAGCAGCAGGCTCGGCGGGAGCGACTGGAGGCGGCACGACGGGAGCTGCTCCGACAGCCGCCGCTGCAACCACCACAGCCGCCGCGGTCTTCCTATCCTTTGCCACCGCCGCCGCCATCATCACATCAGCAGCAGCAGACGGTCGGTTATGCTGGCCAGCCACGAGTTCCGCCGTTGGGGCCTATTTTCCCAAATGAGCAGCAGCACCAGCAGCAGCAGCACGGGGCGGCTGACTCGAACAGTGAGGTCTCCTTCCGTGCAGGCCTGGCGGCGGCTGCGGTGACGGGGACGGCGCCGTCGGTGGAGCAGCAGTGGCAGGCGCCACCCTGCCAGCAGCAGCATCGGGTCCAGCAGCAGCAACACCAGCAACACCAGCAGCAGCAGGAGCAGCCACAGAACGACTCGATGGCGGATGAGCTTGCTCTGCTCCGAGCGCAATACGCACAGCTGCATGCGCGGTACGAGTTGCAGGCGATACGGCAGCAGGAGCTGCAGGAGGCTGTACAGCGGATTTCGGGTGCGTGAATCGGGTGGTGGCACAAGACAGGTTAGCGGGGGGATTTTCGAAGCAGGCAAAACCATCGGTAGGCGGTAGTGGCGTGTGAAAGGCAATGAGCTATGTAACGTCCGTAAGCTACGGCCCTGTTCCCAGCTCTGCGGGGCTCTCAGCAGGGGGCCATTTTGGTGGAATGATAGGAGTGACAGGCGCAGGAGGCCGGATGTAATTCAGTGCGTTGAGCGAGGCGGTGATACAGCGTGCGTCGCATAATGGATAGTGCTGGCGGTTGTTACTGCGTCTGCAGGACCTGGAGGGGAGTAGGCATGAACACGTACATGAACGGATCTGGTGGGGAGTAGGCACATGAACATGAACGATACTTTGCCACTCTGCTGCTGCTGCTGCTGCTGCTCGTCGACAACGTTTGATACTGCAGCCCTGCACAGCATTTCCGTGTATAATTTTAGAACCGAGTACCGTACTAGTTTCTCTGGGTATAGGTGTTTGGGTTGATGCGGTTCCTTTCGTTTTCTTGTATCAGGCAATGCCGTGTGGTGTATATGACAACGATGTACGGGTGGATGTACGGAGGGGGCGAACGAATAGGGGGGGATATAGAGCAGCCGTTTCCATATTATGCTCGTTGCTTGGCTGATGGGCTGAATTTGGCAGGAGTGGAGTTTTGGCGCCTGGGCTGGGGCTCCGGGCGTCCCTAAAATAAAAGTCGTACCCTGTGGACACCGCCATCTGCGGGAGCTTGTTACTGTAGTGCAGCTGGCGAAGTAAAGCCTAGGGCCTTCCGCGCCTGGCATGCGCGAATTTCATAGTACTGAAGCTCACTGAACCTTTCGGTCCTTGTGCATATGTGCGTTTGTGCGTGTGGGGAAGCCCATTAGCAGTGTATAGCTCTCCATCACTTGCACTTCCGATAATACTGGTTTTTGCTTACTGTTTTGTGACGTACGCAGTGTTCCCACCCAACGTGCATAGCTCACCAATCATTGAACGTGTATTATTCGAAAATATAGGTGTAATGTTTCTGGCGGTGGCAGCTCTTGCCTTCCAGGGGGCCCGCCATTATCGACCACCACCGCCCCTGCAACCCCCTGCCTCGGCTGTAATGCGACCACTGCCGCTGCGCAAGTCCTCGGGATGAACCACCCAGGACTCCCCGCCAACCCTGGTCCCTTATGTACCCCAATTGTGAGACTCGCACTATCGGGGCGATAGGGTGCGATAGGGTGCACGCCACCTCGGCCGGCGCCGTGACCTTCCGGACTGTTGTTGGTTTGTTGGTTAGTACGACTGCGCTGGTAGGACAGAACGACCGCACGGGGAGGTGAGGGGAGGAAAGGGCCGCTGGCGGTATCGTGCTGGGAGAAGGAGGCGGAGGAGGGGAAGGACATTGACAAGGACGGACTCCTTGCGACCGTGCGGGTTCTTGCGGTGACTGTGTCCGTAAAATTAATCGCCTAGTCGCGGGGAATGTATGAATATAAATTTTTCGGCCACACATAGGAGCACTGACCCATGCTCAATCCTCGCACAGACCCGTTATCGCTGCAGCGCCCACGCCCCGCCTTCGCCTCGCGGCTCCCTCCGCGCCCGCTTTTCTCCCGGTCCGTCTTGTCCGCTACTGATCTTCTATGCAGGCATGGCCGCTGCTGCTCAGCCCAGGACGCCGCTGACACCTAGCTGGGACCCGCTTGTGGAGTCCTCCCCCGCGAACAGTACGAGGAAGGACAGCTCCGCGGCCACCGGAGCAGTAGCAGCAGGAGGAGCCGAGGAGAAGGCACTCGGCAAAGGCAAGGCGGCGCCAAAGGGCGTACCACAGCTGCAGTCAACTTGGACCCAAGCCTCGCCTTCCGTGTCCTCGTCGTCGTCGCCTTCGTCGCCGCAGGGCCAGACGGAACAAAACTCAACCTCGCGCCGGCCTGCTCTGGCGCCAGGACAGCCGCCAGCGTGCCGCGAATATGACAGCTCCCGGAGCACGTCTGAATCTGGATCTAGGTCTAAATCCAGATCTAGATCTAGATCCCCTCTTGGTAGCGCGCAGCAACGTCAGCACCCCTGCCAGCAGCATAGCAGCGGTGAGGGGTCCGTAGACCACCCACCTCCTTGGCGGCCTGCGGGGATCCTGCACCTGTCACCGCCGTCGCCGTCATACCACGGCAAGCATCACTTCATGCATCACCATCAACTCCAGCAACACCACCAGCACCATGAACAACAACAACAGCAGCAGCAACAGCAGCAGCAACAACAGCAGCAACAACAGGAGCATCGTCATCGCCATCATCACCACCGTCATCGGGAGCAGCAATCCAGGCGTTCGCCCACATCCGTACGTTCGGTCCCGGCCAACCCCGGGACCGCAGCCGCAACGCCTACAGCGGTCTCGGAGCAGTCCCGGGCATCCGCTGGCGCCGCCTCCGGCGGCGGTGCCCCTCTTGGCCCACAGCGCTCCGGCGAGCTGTTCATCTCCACCACGCCCTTCTTCCCTCTGGGCCCTGAGACCTCCCAATTCCTGGACAGAGCCACGACTGTGGATGTGGGCTTTTATCCCGACCCTGACCTGGCCGGAACGGCGGCGGATGGCCGGCGGCGGCGGGGGCGCAGGGTGGGTCGAGGGAGGGCGCATGACCACGGTGTCGGCGAGGATACGGAGGACGACCGGGATGAGGCCGCGAGTTCCTCTGGACACACGCCGGACAGGACGCCCTCCCTGGACAGCTCCCCTGGTGAGGAGGAGGAGGAGGAGGAGCACGATCCGCTAGGGGAGGAGGAGGAGGACGAGGAGGAGGGACACCTGGGCGAGGAGCAGGAGGTGGATGACGAGGACGACGAGGAGGAGGAAGACGGAGACGGAGAGTTGGGCAGTACTGGCGATGGGAGAGACGGCAGCCTTGCCCTGGAGGACAGATTCCGCTCGGAGACAGAGTCGTCGCACGGCACTGAGAGTGGGTCGTCGGCGTCAGGCGGAGGCATTGCTGGGCCAGTGGCGGCGGCGGCGACGGCTGCCGCCAGCCAGCCACCGACGCCAGCTGCGGCCGGTCAAGGCTTGTCGCCCCGCCACACGACCTGCAGCTTCCGGCCCATGCCGCGCCTAGGCACTACGGAAATTAACCCCGGCCGCGCTGAGATTGATGAAGCGACTCCAGACGACATAGAGGACGATAGGGGCAGCGGCGGCGGCGCTTTGTTCGGTCCGAACGATTCGATGTCGATTGAGTTACCGCTACTGCCCCTGGCTGTGGCTCAGTCCCCTGTTGATCTTCAGTATCCCCACACCCGCCCCAGCGCCCAACGCCAGGGCCATCACCAACAGCAGCACCAGCAGCAACAAGAGGAACAACAGCAGCTACAGCAGCTACAAGGCGACACGGTTGACGCGCAACAACATCGTGATCATCATCACCACCATCACCAGGGGCGTCGATCCCACAGCCACAGCCACCAGTCCCATCACCGTCAGGAGCAGCAGCGGCGGCGGGAGCAACGCGACCAACAGCAGCAACAGCAGCAACAGCCCTTTGCAGTGCCTAGACCTGTGGACGGTCCCATGGTGCCGCCCGAGGTCCTAGAGCGCATGGCGCTGTACGCGGGCGACGAGGGCCTGGCGCGTCCCAGCACCGCAGTGCCGTCGGCCCTCCGACCCGATGCAGCCGCCCGCGGCCCGCCCGTGCCGCCGGAGGTACTGTCGTACCTGGAGCAGTACACAGGCGGCGGGGAAGGCGACGTACGGCCCAGCACGGCCTCGCCGTCAGTTCTCCGTGCACGAGCAGTGCGGGAGTTGCCGGTACCGCCTGAGGTGCTGTCGTACATGTTGCAGTACACAGGTGATTAATCAGGCGTTTGAATGCGGGCAGGGGGGAGGGCTGGCATGCTGTGGCAGTAGTTACTACGGCTGTGTGTATGGCGTATTGTCGTGGTCGCCGCCCTTCACCTCACGCGCGCATGTTCCCTGCATCACGTCACCTCATGCCAGCTTCATCCTGGCCTGGGTATGGAGAAGTTTCGCAACCCCATTTTATCATCCTGCTACCTCTCGGACGGGGCCCCCCACAACCCCGTCGGCAGTTGAACCTTTGCTTCATTGCATAGGATTTTCTCCCCGCAGCCCTTCCCCCCGACACACACATCCCGGCACACCTCCCGCTCCTTTCCATGGATTCCTCATACGTCTGTTGCCTTCGCCGTGGCGGCGCAGGTGACGAGGGCGGTGCACGCCCCAGCAGCGCCGTTCCCTCCGTCCTGGCTGCGGGCCGCGTCAGTGTGGAGCTCCCGGTGCCCGACCTGCTGCTGCACATGGTGGCGCAGTTCCAGTCGGGTGAGTTAGAAGAGGAGGTTGAGGAGGAGCAATGGGGTGGGGCTCCTGTAGGGGGAGGTAGGGAGGTAAGGACTGGCTAGGTAGCGGTGGGTGGCGGGCAGGCTGGTGTTGGGGCGTGACAGTGGTTGGGACCTGTAGTCGCAGCGGTGGTGGTGGTGGTGCACATGGACCTCGAGGGGCAGCGGTGTATGTGGCACAGGTATAAGGAATAACCCATACCTCCTCCTCCTCTTCTTCCTCCATCTCGAAGGGGGAAAATCTAGGAATCGCACCCTGTCTTGCCCCGGCGGGGGAATCTCCTCTTCGGGCAAATAAATATCCCATATCCATGCTCGGCTGGGGCCGCAGCTGTGCTCCCTCCATGGGGCTGCTGGCGCTACACCACCCAGCACCCACCCGTTCCATTCCGTTTTGCTCCTTGCATTCCGGCATGGTTAGGGAGTGGCCAACACTCAAAATTAACTCACTAACTCATGTTTCCTCTCCCGGACTCCTTAACCCCCTCAGGTGGTGAGGGGGTGTCCCGACCCACCACCGCCCCATCGTCCAGCGAGCGGCGAGCTCGCCTGGGCGCCACGTCGGCGGCTGCACACCACCATCACAACCACCACCACCAACACCAACACCACAAGAACCGTGTGCAGTTCGCGCCCACGGTCACGGATGTGGCGCTGCTGCGCGGGGGCAGGAACCCGGCGGCGTCCGTGCCGTCCTCCCCCGCGTCGTCGGCATCGTCGGCGTCATCACCGCCGGCATCGGCCACCGGCTCGCATAGTCGGTCTGCTGGGGAGGAGAGCTCCGCGGTGGCGGCGGGAACATCAGCATCACCGTCCTCGTGGGTTGTGGCGACCGTAACAACCGCAGCGACCGGTTCTGGTTCTGAAGGTATGACTGGTCAGCCTGGGCCGGCTGCTGCCTCGTCAACGGCGGTGGTGGCGATGTCTTCCATCGCGGCGCCAGTCGCTGCAGCAAGCAGCAGCAGCGGCAGCCAGGGACCCTTCCCTAGTAACAGCGGCGGTGGCGGCGCCGCTGCAGCAGCAGCAGCGCGTGGAAGACTCCAGCACGATCCACCAGCGTCATCACCACTACCATCGCCTCTGCAGCAGCAGCAGCAGCTGCTGCACAGGCCGCCTCGTCTTCACAGCTATGAGCACCACCAGCAGCCGCATCTGCATCAACAAAGGCAAACGGACATCGGCGGCGGCGTCAGGACCGGGTTGAATGGTCTCAGCGGCCTCATCGATAGCAGCAGCAACAGCAGCACCGGTAGCACGAACGGTCATTGGGCGGTGGAAGCCGCAGCGGTAGTTCTGCAATCGGGGAGCTCCGCCGCCGCCACCGCTGCCTCTGCCGTGGCCGCCCGCGGTGATGGCGGCGGCGTCGGCGGGCATGTGTATGGGGTTGAGGCTGGGGATGTGTTTGCGTTCCCGGAAGCTGGGGATCAGGATTACACTGGCGACGGAGGGGCCCAGGGGACGGTTGAGCCCGGATATGGATTGAGAGTTGAATCCGGATCCGGTTCGTCGTCTGGACGGGGATTGGAGCTGCTGTACGAGGGCGAGGATCAGCCAATGTCGTGGCCCGATTCCAGAGCCGCGGCTGGACCGGGGCTGGGTGATGGGTTTTACATGCGGGATGGTACCTTCGGCGCCAGGGTTAGTGGCTTAAGCCCGGGCGTTGCTGCCGCTCTCGCCGAAGCGGACGGCGGCGGTGGCAGCGGCGGTGCGGTGGAGGTGTCGGCTGCGTTTGGCGATGCAGGTGAAAGGGGGGAAGGTGAAGGGGGCGGTCCCGGGATGCTGGTTGGGGAGGCGGAGGACGGCCATCGGGATGAGGCTATTGAGCTGGGCCGTTACCCTTCGGCAGCAAGTGAGGAACTCCTGGACAAGGACGCGGGATGGTGGGAGGCGCAGGTGCCCCACCCTGGCGGCGGAGAGGCCGGTGGAGTCATGCTTGAGGGACAGGAGAACGAGGAGCCTGAGGAAGAGGATGAGGACGAAGATGGTGAGCAGGTGGGGGCATTTCGGGTGGTGGTTGGCAGTTGGCTGACACGACCGCCAAGGACCGGGTAAAAGGTGTGCTTGGAATGTCGTACCTGCACATACGTTCGTATGCACGACGCGTTAATGACAGCTTGCCTGTGTCCTGACTTCGAGATCTGTTTCATCTAGTCGGGGTCTCCCGAAGGTGCGTCAACCTGTCAATCTGTTTGTCTGTCTGTCCGAAGGAAGGAAGGAAGGAGGGAGGACGACTGGGGGTAGGCTCCGGAACAGGAGAGGGATTTGATTTGGGACCCTCACAAGGGTTGCTTACAATGGGGGGCGTAGATGAGGACATATGGGCGCCAATTGCGCTGTGTTAGAGCGCTAGGCTGTAGGGTAGAGGCGGCAATCGCAGGCTCAGTAGTAGATAGTAGGGTGCTCTATGGAGTGTGCAAATGTTGTGGGCTGGGCCGATGTGGGTGTTCTAGGCTCTAGGGCAACCTGTGCCCAATTCAGCGCTGTTGTTGGCGCCGACATTGCGGCCTGGCCTAGCCTGGCCTTGGTAACGGGGGGCCCTGGAAGGTGTGTACCTGGCGTTCTGGCGCCTGCTGTCGGCGGCTTCTGCGATTGGGAGGCCATGTGATGTTGGGTGTGCATAGCGCGACAGCACAGTCGCCACAGCATGCGGCTGGGTTTCGTAGCATAAACCAGTGCATACACTCAGCTACACACTCTCACACGCAGTGCACATATTCGTTTTCACGTGGTTGATGCTCTCGTGTAGGGGGGGGCCAGGGTAAGAGGGGGGTAGGGAGCTTGGCGGGATGGAGCACCTTCATGCTCGCGCATGCACGCAAGCAAAAACGCATCGCGCGTCACTCTGTCGCGCACCTTCTCGCGAGCGACGTGTTCATTCATCGCAGAGCATTTCCTGAGGACCGCGTACGCGCGCTGCACGCACATTCACGTAATTGAGCGCTGTCTCATGTGCGCTCTGGCTATGATAACTCACCGGCGTGGAACAAATGCATCTCCTATGTCTTTTAACTTTTTCATCACCACGCTCCGGGGATGTGCCAAAGCATATGGAGCGGTGCGACGTCCCACATCCCCAGCCTGGCCGAATGCGACCGCAGAGGAGGGGGCGTGTAGTCCATCTGTGACCCCCATGTATACAATCGCATTACTTGTATTGATGTCCTCTTACTGAACTAACTAGACATAAGACATGTCGCTTCTTTGCACTGCTGGCTGGGTATTTCATCGAGCGGGGTGGAGCGAGGAGGCGACGACCCGTTGTTATAGTCCATCTGGTCTGTAGTCGGTGGGCTCCCGCCGGGAGAGAGTATTTCATTAACGGATGTTGTAGGGGTCTTGGGGACGGGTGTTGTGGCCTTCGCTCGTTGGAACCTGGTGGGAGCGTGCCGCAAGGCATGGCGTGGTGTGAAGCGCTGTCTTCCTCCGCCATTTTTCCCTTGGTCCCACTGGACAGCAAGCGGAGGTTCAGAGCAACCACCAGCGAGGACTCTGCTGGTTGCCTATCCTGCCAGTGCACCAAATGTGAAAGGCTTGGCAGAAGGGTAGTGCTTCTCCTACCCTCCGCGGTAGCGTGATATCGCTACCTATCCAAGTTCGTTCGTTACAAGCCGATCTAAACTCCCGTACCAAGAATGATACTTAATTTCATACAAACATGTGTGTATAGGTACATTAATATATATTAAGTCTTATGCGCCGCGGAGAAGTGCTTGCGCCGAATCACGAGACGTGGCGATGTGCAGCAGATGTCACAGCAGAGACCCTAATGCCAAACCAACCCCACAGCTGTCCTAGTGCGGACCCGCAAAGGCCGCCGCTGGCCCCCACCGCAGCCGTCCGGCGCACGCATGCACGCAGAACATTCATGCAAGCACGCACACACACTCTTGTGTCTGCGGAAAAACATGTTTTCGGGGTGAGTGAGAGCAGCGGTAGCATTAGCTCTGGGCCGCATAACGAAAAAAGTACACCAAAAGCTCTGCCAGAACGCAAATAAAACTCCACCCGTGCGATTTACAGACCTGCGGGCGGACGCCCTGAGCAGGAACGGAGGCAACAAACAGCAATAGAGGGTTGCGTCACTAAACTTGAATGGGCAGAAGGTGGTGAGGCATACGGCGTCGCTACACTTTATCACCACCAACACCCTCATGTATTCTGCTTACGGAGCTTCAGGAGGCACCGGTCCTATTCTGCACCCAATACATAAAAAAACACAGGGGCCCCGCACACACCCACACATGCACACGCAGACGCAGCCGGCACGGGAAAGTGCGCAAATGGCTGTGCGTGTGTGGCGCCAGGGCTGCGGTCACCGCTTTGCGAATGTCGTCCCCACACTCTGGAGGGCTGGTAAAGATGGCGGCGCGGCTATGCCAGCCACACTGCCATTGCCATACCCTTCACTGACTAGTTGCTGACGCCGCGACCTTGTCCTCCGCCACCTGACCTTCCTGGCCGTCAGTGGGGCAATCCCCGCCCATGGAACCGCCGACAACGCCAGCGGCATCTCCATTCGCATCCTCCTGCTCTACCCGCCGGGTCCTCACACCTCCCGTCGTACCCACAACCGCAGCTCCTTCTGCAACGCCGCCGGCCTCGTCAGCGGCGTCGGCGGTGAAGGCGGCGGCAGCGGCGGCGGTGTGGCACTTCTTACGGAACTCGGTAAAGCAGCGGTTCAATCGTACGACAAGCTCGTCCACGTCAGCACGCGTCGTCCCTAGCGCCGCTGCCGCCGTCATGTAGGTGCTCGGGTACGGCACCTCTGTGTGCGAGCCGTAATTGCGAAACGCCACGCCACCAACGCTCTGCGTCTTGCCGGGTGCCACGACACGCGTGCCCGAAACACACCTGTACAGCAACATCAGCCGCGCCACACGTGGTCAACAGCCGATACGGAAACCAAACCAATAACCGAAGCAGGGCCCCCCTCCCGGCGGCAAAAGCAAAGCCATGTGTGGTGCTAAGCCAGCGTGCCGTACCAACCCGGCACCTTCACAACCCACTCCCCGTGCTGTCGCGGCACCCATTACACACCACCTTGCCAGCTCACAATCCTGTCCGCGGTTTAATTCCCCGACACTGCCCTATATCGCCCTTGATGGGGCTGCTGCAACCCGGCACCGCCACCCATCCATCCACCCAAACCACCCGGCACCGCCATCCATCCATCCACACACTCACACACACCTACCTGGACCAAAGCATGGCGCCAAAGAAGGTCACATCGGGCGGCCGCCGCGGCGCCGTCGCCGCTACGGCAACAACAGCCTTCACCGCGCGCGTCGGCACCGCGGCGGCCGCCTCCGCCGTTGGAGCCCCGTCAGGTCCCCCTCCTCCTCCCTCTTGCTGCCAGCCTTGTTCCTGTTCTTGCGGTTGTTGTTGTTGTTCTTCTTCTTGCTTGTGATGCGGTCCGGCGGAAGCTCCCCTGCCACAGTCCTCGTTCCCCGCCGCCGCCGCGTCAGCGCCATCACCGTCCCCGTTATCGGCTTCGGCAGCGATAGCAGTAGCAGCAGCAGCATTCTGCAGCGCCGCCGCTGCCGCTGCAGCTTCCTTCCCAACAACCGGCCCCGCCGCCGCAGCCGCAGCCGCCGTCACCAGGGTGTCCAACGTCAGCGCCATGCTGATGGGGTTGTTGGGGGTATCCAGCAGCCTCTCGCCCTGGCGTGCCGCCACCTGACGCAACCTGTCCCGCAGGTACGGCACCAATTCCTCGCGCTCCAACAGCACCTGCGGAGACGGATAGCGCCGCATGCCGGCCACATACACCCAGGCAGCCAGCCAGCCAGCCAGCCAGCCAGGCAGGGTGAAAAAGTGGACTCAGTAATTATTGTCTCGGTGGTATTCATTGGTCTGTAGGAAACCGCTTTGTCCTCCGCGGGACGGAAAAGCACGGGGGAGGAGGAGGGGGAGGAGGGGGAGGCGGCAGGGGAGGAGGGCCACCGCGTTGGGGCCACCGGGTTTCGGGGGTAGACACACGGTGAGTCTGTGTGGGGCGGCACACGCCACCGCAAGGGGAATAGAGAAGGACTGCACGTTGTTGAGGAGAAATAAATACACATATCTATACAGAATATACATGTAGAATATAAACACATATACCTAGAATATATGAAAAAGAGAGAAGAGATAAAAAAAGGAGAATGGTTGGAGGGGAGAGGAAAGGACTCTCCTCCTCCCCTGCGTCTACTCCCCCATTGCCTAAGGTGGCCCCCCTCCACCTCCCAACAAGCCGCAAACCTCTCAGCTTCTCATCGGTTGATGCGGACCACGCACCTTGCGCCAGCCCGCAGCGCCCCAGTGCAGCAACGTCATCAGCAAATCCAAATGCGCCGCCACACTCGCCCGCCCTGGGTACGTCCCATTCACCGCCGCCACCAGCCCCGGCCGCGCAGCCGGTGCCGCCACCAGCGCGCCGCCGACAGGCACCATGAAATTCTTGTCCGTACTCTGTACGACGGCATCCACGCGGCCGCGCGACCACGCCGCCGCCACGGCACGGCAGGTCTGCCGGCTCTGCACGCCGTACGCGTTGTTGATCACGTGCGGCACGGCAGCGGTGTCGCAGAGTCGAGCAACTGCCGTCACATCGTCGGGGGCACGGGGCGCGAAGCACGAGGTCGTGGTGATGACGGCGACGATTCTGTCCGGGCCTAGGGAGTCCACTGCCTGGGAGATCGCCTGAGGCGGCGGCGGGGGCAGCAGGGGCCCGGGGGGGAGCGGGGGATTTGAGAGGCGATATGAGGATGACGTTCCCGTGCAGCTTAGCGGGAAGGAAGGAGTGGATCGGTGCAGCGAAACCCCCCTCACGACCTCCCTTCCCCACCTTCCCTAACACAAGTGTGATCCCCCAACCTCCACAAACTCCGAACCTGCACGTCCGTGACCAGCTCGTCCCCTCGGCGCCGGAGCTGCACCGCATGCGGCCGCAGCCCGGCAGCGGTGATGGCCTTGAGGCACGTCTTCTGATCCACCCGGCTCCACACCACCAGGTCGGCACCCGGGGGCCGCGTGGACCTCAGCGCCAGCAGAACCAGCGTCAGGGCCATACCCGTGGCCAGGGGGAGGGTAGTGACGGGTCCGATACCGGTTAGGCCTGGGGCGTGTGGGTGTGTATGTGGGTGTATGTGGGTGCCGCGGGAGATAAGATATGAGGGAGTTGGGATGGTGGAGGGTGGCGGGTGAAGAAGCATGTAGTCAAGATGCTGCTGCTGCTGCTGCAGCTGATGTTGATGATAATGATGATGACTATGACGATGGTACTTTGATGACAATATATGAGTCAAAGAGAAGCAACGGTGCCGATGCCCCGTGGAAACGGTTGAGTTGGGGTTGGGGTTGGGGTTGGGAATGACAGAAGAAGTGAAGAGTGCACAGGACTGGGGCCGGGTGAGGGTGGGACGGGGCCTCGGGGGGGGGGGGTAAACAAATGACCGACAGCTCTGACGACGCGAGGGGATATCCGAACACCAACACGACCACCAATAGCCACCCACCCACCCACCCACCCACCCGCAATCCCTAGTGCATCCGCCGCCAGGTGGTTGGTGAGGGCGGCCAGCAGCGAGGACCCCGCGGCCTTGGGTTGCTCCGCCGCCACGTCGCCGCTGCGACCAATACCGTGCGCCAGACCGAAATGGCGCCGCGCCACCAGAGGACACACCACTCGCCCCTCCCGCTCCCCTAGACCCACGTTATCCAGAAAGTTGTTCGAGTCCATGGCGGAACAGTCCTGGGTGGGGGTGAGTGGGTGCGTGTGACGGACAGACAGACAGACAAACAGCTGGATGGACAGACAGACAGATAGACAGACACATTCAGATAGATAAGCATAACCACACGTACCTAAAGCACTGCAGAAAACTTGCAAAGCATGCACATGACATGCAAAGACATTTCGCATGTAAGAGTGTGTGCGTATGTGTGTGTTACTCTGCCCTGTAAGTAGGGAGCCAACCAAAATCTTCACCTCGCTGTCCAGAACCCCCAGGGCCCCAAGCTACACCGTCCCTCCCCCACCTGCGTCTTCCCTGAAAATCTTTCATTAAGTAAACCCCTTTCCTCATCACCTCGAAGTCCCATCGTCCTCGAGTTCGGCGAGTTCGGCCTTCCCCATCCCCCCATCCCTCCCCCCACCCGACACACACCCGAATCAGCATTTCAATGGTGGCCTCATCCCAGCCTCTTTCCGGTAACCGCCGGCTGGACAGCAACGACTTAACCAACCGCTGACGACGAGCAAGCGCCTGCTCACCCTGCCGTATGTACGACAGGGAAATCAGACCTGACGCAAGTGCGCAGTTGTCGGGGTTCATTTCCGTGTGCCCAGTTGTCGAAGAGCGGGGTGTTCGGTCCTTTCGCTTTTCCTTTTCTTTTGAAGGCCCCCTCACTCAGAGGACCAGGAGGGGGGGAGGATGTCGCTTTCCTTCTTTCCTTCTCTCTCTCTCTCTCTCTCTCTCTCTCTGGCCGTTTCCAACGAATTTCCTTCTTTCTCCTCGCCGGGGCTTCCTGGGTGGCTGCTACTGCTGCTACTGCTGCTACTGCTGTCGTATTGTGTTTCGTGCTGTGTCTGAGGATAAGGGGTTGTAAACAATTACGACTGTAACGGTGCTGAGGGGCGCCTGGGTTCAGGGCGCTGCGTGGCTGGATGTGATGGGTAATGCCGTGTATGTATGTATATGGGTTTAGGAGCTGGGGTTTACGGTGCGCCTGCCGCTGCTGACGCCGCCGTCACTGCCGTACAGCACCCAGCGCAGTAGTCTGGGCACCTGGACCCGGGAGAAGAAGCCCGCGAAGAACCAGGCAGCCTGAAAGGCGGGAGGAGGAGGGGGGATTCAGGGGGTTTCAAGGGGGGGCTGGGGTTGCGGCTTTGGTTTGCGGCGGCCGGGGTCTCTATTATAGAGACTCTATATGCACATGGGAATTGCCATTGCAGACCCCCCTCCTCCAGCAGCTTCACTCGTTTGTGGTTCGTCTTTCCCGCCTCCCCCAATGACTTTACGACCTGCACCGCGACGTCGGCGTAGACCTTCCATTTACTTCACCTTACACTTTCCTTTTCCCTTCGCCGCCTTTAGTTCTACACTTTTTCACACCATTGCGTTTTCGTTTGCTTTTCTGCTTTCCTTAAGACTTCCCTTTCACCTCGGTGGCTAGGTAGTCTTCTCACTATCCCATCTGGCTGTTTTGGACTTGGGGATGGCAGCTAAATTTACGTTTCGCAACTCAGCTGGATTCGTCGCTGTCAACACCTCCTTATTCACGTCATCGCGGGTCAAATAAATATTCCTGATGCCGTATTTGTCTTCTCCTGGATCATCTAGCGTCTATCGTCTGTGCTTCGTCCTATTCCTCCGGTTGCACTCCCTCCCACTCTCACCGCCACTAACACCACACACACGCCAATGACCGGTAGTGAGTCCGAGGGCACGGCACCGTACAGTACCTCCTGGCAAACTGCCCATTGCAAGCCGGGCGGTAAGGAAGGGGGTGAAGGGGAGGGAAAGAGTGCTGCTGACTGATGCAGGCGAAAAAGCGGGTTGGGAGTGTTGATTTTATCTCCATTTTACTTAAAGCAGAATCTTATCCGATTGACAAGGATAGCCCAAGGTGGGAGGGAGTAGGGCCCCAACCCCCAAAGTGGGTCTGGGTGCGCGCAGCTCTGTGCGCTCTGCGGGGTGTCCTCTGGGTGCCCAGCTCCCCCCTGTATGCAGTGTCTCCTGGCCGCGTTTGGCACGTGGACATGTACACATGCAGAACCGCGCTGCGAGGTGTCGAGTGCGTTTGCGAGGTGGAACAGCAGCAGCGGGTGCTTAATTTTTGGGGTGCTTATCTGTGTGTCTGAGAGTGTTTGTGTGTGTGTGTGTGTGTTCCGTGTGCAATTGGAGGCGCCTCCTCCCAAGCTCTGGAAAGTCTAGGGCTCCACCCACCGATGTCGTACACGAGCACCAGGGGCCCAGCGCCGGGCCCGTCCCGATGCACGAACCGGCCGCGCGCGCGGAGTTCAACTTTTGCGTCGTCCAAACCCTGCGAATTTTGTAGGAAGGCGATGCCTTTGTCTCCTAAATACATTTTAGATGAGATACTAGCAATCATAACCTTGTTCCGTATATGCTATCAGCATATCGCTGTCTTACTTGCGGTTTGCCTGAGTCGTCCGTCCTGAAGATTAACTTCTCTGTATCCAACAATCGCCTACGAAAAAGGTAATATGTATATTGCTACATATCATGTTGGGGCTATGCATCGTGGACAACTTGCCTAAGGCGTACTGCGTCTGCCCCCAAAAGGCGTAACTGGATTGTTGCCGGTGTCTGCAAAGGATGCATATGCAAGTATTTGGTTTGAACACATGAAAAGGCCGCAAATTATCTTTAGTATTCGTCAACCGCACCGTCGCTGGGTAAGATACGCGAACTTCGTAAGATGTTTGCGGCCGCAGGCCCTTCAGTTGGAACCTGAAAAGCACGAAGCAGGATCTCGACATCCGCCTTGCTGATCTTATAGTCTTGGTGAAAGCGCACCGTTCTGGGTGGCCATCCAATCTTGCAACTTGACGCTCTAGCGGTTGGTTTGCGTACAGCTGCACCTCGCCCAAGCTCCAAGCCTCGGCCGCGAACAGAAGGATCACAAACACTGTCCGGACGGAATTGCTACAGGAAATGCGATGCATTATGGCAAAGGGATATTGTGATCTGAAGCCATGTAGAGCATGGAAAACAGCTGATGAACCGTACTATTTAGTACGGCAAGCGTCATGTCGTGACTCAAAGACTTGGCCGGCGAAAAAATTCTCAGCGAAATGCATCATAGCTAGCACCTGAGTCTTGGTCTTCACTTCACAAGAACACGCCGCCATGTGCTGCCGTAGGTTTGAAGGTCAGCGAATGCACGTCATGACGCAGTACGGCACGTTGTACGGCCCCCGCCTGGACCTTCATGAATACCAGTCGATAAGTCGCTATCACCTTCTTTCCCTTGGGTAACGAAACTAACGAAATGATCCTCGGTTGCCACAGCCAACCACTAAGCCTGTATGTGTTTGATACGGCTTCTAATCCGTCTTGGAGGCCAGAGGAGGCTCGCTGACTGGCGGGGCCTAGCCGCGGTGATGGACGGCTCGCCCCTTGGGGCCGGTGTGCTGATAACATCCCCCCTAGAATATCACCGATATGCAGCTTAACGGTAGCGTAATGAGCAACCGAATCCCTCTAAGCGTCTGCCTGTATGCCACCCTCATATGGGGCCCATAACGCCCCCATACCGGCCAGAGGAAGGCCAGGACCTTTCCTGACCTTTCCCTGCAATCAGTAGGGATACCCTCAACCGGCAGCCCAAGATCTGAAACCAACGCTCGGTGGCGCATTATTGTCCCCCCCCCGGGGGCCCCTCCAGCTGGGAAAAGGCCCGGACAGCCCGATGGAGCTGCTGCAGTGGCCTCTGAGAGAAAGATCACACACTCCCACAAATTGTACGATGGTGCCAAACATGATAGGCCAATGAAACGCTGGCTGACACGGTATCAGACTAAGTTAAGGCCGCGGGCCTGTCCTCCCCTTCCACGCGCCCGTTAAGAACAGCAAGTCTAGTACCCCGGCACAGTTGCAGGCACAGAGCCCGTCGGCCAAAGCAATCCACAGTACCGTTATTACTGCTTTCCCAGGTTGCCTGATCAGGGCTCCCGCATGCGGCTCCATCACGTGACCCGTTGGCATCTCGGAGATGGATATGCAGCCCGAGCATTGAAAAGTCAACAGTGAGAAACTCCTCATCCCCTCCACACCGCAGCCTTACCCACTTCACTAGTGGGAAGCCCCCCACCCCCACCCGCGGCATCCGGGCATTCGCTGCCAGCTAATCAGCTACTGCCTGTGTCAACAGTTAACAGTTATCCGCTACGGTCAGAGTTGCGTTACACACAAGACGCCTGGGTGAGCAATAATGTACCGGTCGCAAGGAGTCACCATTTTCGGGGGCGGGGGAGGAATGTGGGCAAACCCCATCCACGTGACTTCAAGCCCTTACGGGGGCGCTAGCAGTGCGACCCACTTCCTTAACTCAGGTTGCCAGATAGCGTGTAGCCGTGACAAACACGGCGACACCGACTGACCTCCGGGAGCCCGTGCACATACGTACATACGTACATACGTAGTCCGAGTAGTGCAAGAACGATGAACGCATCCTCCTTTTATGGTGTGTGGGACAGGGGGGGGTCATATCTTCACACGGGCTATACAGAAAATGCACCGGTCGGCGGATGCCGGAATCGCGTGATGATACGCCCTACAGGATACAACATTATCCCCCCTCCAGCTGAGGGCGTCCTCGACCTAGCCCGTCTCCGTGGCGGCCGTTCAGAACCGCACCCGGCATGATTCGATCCCGGGTCGGGACAGGGTTACCAGTCTCGATTCTAGTAGTTGCATCACAGCTACAGAAAATGCACCTAGAATGTTGTTTGTATCCTGCTGGGCGTATCATCACGCGATTCCGGCATCCGCCGACCGGTGCATCTTCTGTATAGCCCGTGAACCAGCAGGTTGGTTCATCAGCCTGATGCCGACCCTCACTCTCTCATGCTGGCTAATGCCTGCCGCCATGTCAGCCCCTCCACCCATTTAGCCATCCCTCCCTTTGCATGGCCTCTATATACACGCCTCTCTGTCTGCGTGTCTGTCTGTCTGTGCGCCTGTTTGTTGATTGTTTGTTTGTTCGTCCAGCTGTCAGTCGGTGACGGTGTATTTGGCGAAGAGGTTTTCCGGATTAGTCATCGCCTTGAACTCCAGAGCATTGCCCGAGGGGTCGGTGAAGAACAGGGTCCACTGGCGGTGGTGGTGGGGTGGGGGTGTGTGTGTGTGTGGAGGGTGGGTGGGGTGGGTGGGTGGGTACTGGGGGGATGTATATAGGGTGGGTGGGGGATATAGGCGGAACACCACACACATGCAAAAGTCCCCGGAGGGAGACAACAGCCAACATCCAAAACGGATGGGGTCCCCAGTTGGAGGATAAGGGGTGGTGTGGGGAACGCCGGTTTGTAGGTCAAGGCGGGGGAGGGGGAAGAAGGGGAATGGCGGGGAGCCAAGGCGGCCCACGTCACCAGTGGGGATGCAGGCGTGCGGGGGTGTAGGCAGCCCGCAGTCGGGCCATGGATGGGAGAGTGCGGACGGGAGTGTGGTGAGGACGAGGGCGGCAGAGTATGTTTTGCCTGGTGTATGGTTGTGGGTGCAAAGTGTAGACAGACAGACAGACAGACAGACAGATAGACAGACAAATAGATCGGGAGGCAGATAGACAGACAGACTGACAGAAAGACAGAAATGCAATTGAAGTGCACTCTACAGGCCCATCCACAGTCAGCAGGCAGACAGGCACATCAGAGCCGGACAGCAATCCGACTGACAGACAAACAGGGCCCCCACCTGCTCTCCGGGCTTGCCCTGAAAGCGCAAGTGAGGTTCAATTACAAACTTGACGTCCTTCTCCTGCACACATGGCATGTACGAGCATGTACGGAGCATCTATCTATCTATCGATAGATAGATAGATAGCAACACAGTTCACCCAACCACAGACCAGGAGTTTCCCCCCCCGGGTCCACACTCCCTCTAACCAAGGCCCCCCCCCTCCGACACTATCCACATCCCCCCACTACTTCTCCCCCCGTTTACGAACCGGGTTGTCTTGTACCGGGACACAACCCAAGCCGCTCTCTCACCCACCGCCTACACACAGCTTATGCTTCTCCGCTTCTTGCATATCATCCCTCCTACCACCCTTCCCCCCCGCCGCGGCCTTCTGCCCGCTGGCAGATCCACACCTTGAGTCTCTCCGCCAACTTGTGGAACTGCTCCACGCTGAGCGCCGCTCCGAAATGTGGTACGGGAACCGGGTCCCCATCCACCGCATTGTGACTGGCAGCTGCGTTGTAGCCGCGAACCAGGTGCGCCACGATCTGGAGGTTTCGGAACGCGTGTGCGCGCGCGTGTGTGTGTATGTGGTTTCGGAGCGTGTCAGCATGACGTGTGCGTGTATGTGTACGTGTGATGTGGCTTTGAACGGTGGCTAAGAAAAAACGGAATAAGTAGAGGGAAAAGATAGTTTATGGGCGTACTTGTGCATGTATGTACATATGTAAGCATGTGTGTAAGTATGAGGGGTTTCGGGTGGGTGAGGGGGGACAGATGGGGGAACCCCCCGGGGTTGTCCCTTAACAATCTGTGATACACGGTGATCACACGGTTGGGCAGTGGGTTTACCTGATGCCCGTAAAGATTGAAATCCACCCACGTGGCTGCAGACCGACCCTCGGGACACCCCAGGACTCTGCGAAGGGCTCCCGGTAGGGGGCGGGGAAGGAGGGAGGGGGGCGGGGGAGGGGCTTCAGGTCCAGGGAAGGGAGTTGAAGAGGTCAGGTTGGATTCTCGTGACGGAGCCCTCCGGGCGGATTGTTACTTAGTCGTTAACAGTGCTAGCTGTATTGGGCGCTTGGCGACTTTCCCAAAGAAAGGAAAGAGATGATGGAAGAGTGACGATGATTTTCGTGGGGGCTGAGTTTCATGGAGTGAAAAAAGGGACTTCGTACCAATCGTACCCGCCGTAGAAGTCTCTAGCTGCTTGGATGTCATGGACTGGGAAGGCTATGTGGAATGGCGGGATGGACATAGCTTTATAAAGGAGCGCGTCACTTCCTAGCGAGAGGATTCAGTAGGCAGGTTCGTTTGCAGGCTCATAAGATGGGTATGTTCATATGTTTTATGAGTCGCTGAAGGGTCTGGCTCAGGGCGTAAACAAATGTGTCATGTTCGTTGCACGGCACAGGTTCCCGTGCAACACCTGTATTGCTTGCCCATATCTCAGTCCCGCAGCATTAGGATAAGCTTCGTGCACGTGCTACTTGTAAAGTTGTTGCACAAAGTACAAGATGATAGTAAACGAGAACTAGAGAAAATTAGGCAACGGTCGTGGACTTGATCATGCATAGTTCTAACGAGTGAAGCTGGGACGCCACAACGACTGAAGACAACTTATAAAAAGACACATACAGACACGTACTAAGCCAAGCAATATGGCGGACCCTGAACTGTTTCAGGCTTCTACATCGCAGCTTTCATTTGAGAAATTTATTAACACAATCAATCAGGATCAGGCGAAAGATTTGGTCCGAAGTATAAACCAGTAAGTACGCTCCCCGAAAACGCAAATCGATCGTTGGTTTGGGTCGCTAACTCCGCTTCTTGTTCTCCCCTTTGCTAGATTTATGAAAAAGTTCAGATCGCGTCCCCCTGTCAACGAAATCGACTCCCGGGAAGTGCAAGAATTTCTTACCTCGATGGAGCAGTCTTTTGCTCGGCATCCATTGTGGGCCGGCAGCACACGCTCGGAGCTGGACAATGCTGTTGAGGTAAGGAGGAGATACTGTTCGGTGAGGTGCTTTTCCGTCTTAGTACAGGTTGAATTTGTTCCTGCCTCCCCATCGCCTCCTTGAGCAAGGGGGAATGGCCGCCAACTCCCACTCCCCCCTGGCGTCACCCTCCCTACACACACACTTTCACCCACCCAGATAAAACCCCTCCCATGCACCTCCCCCCCCTCCGTGCTGGTACGCCCATAGGGCCTCGAAAAGTACCTTCTGACAAAGCTGTACGACAGAACGTTTGGGCTGGATCCCTTGGACCGCGAGCGCGATGCCGTACTGTCCCGGCGGCTGGCAGCGCTGGCTGGCTTCATAACGCCGGCTCATCTGGAGGTTTCGGAGCAACTTCAGGTTCCTCTGGCTACCGGGGAGGGGGGCCATGTGGTGGCAGCTAGCAAGGAACTCAAAAAGATGTCGCTTTACAAGGTGTGGAGGTGGGGGAGGGATGCATATGGATGGAAGTGGGGGTTGTATGCGGGTGGGGAGAGTGTGGGAGTGTGTTTTAGGAGCACTGTTTGAGGCATGTTAGTGGTAGCGGTGGAAGTGCGGCGGTGTGGGCTGCATGGGGCTTTAAAGGTTATCAGTTGGGACCCAATTAGGCTGGTGGGCTGATTGATTCACTCGTCCAGGGAACACTGCCTTCATTGCGAAGTACGACAGTACGACAGACAAGAAATCGTGTGGGAGGGGAGGAAGGGGGTTGAGGGAGATCGCCAGTCGCTAGAGGGAGAACGCCGGGTGAGGGTGTGGAGGTCTCTTTTGGAACTTTTCCTCCTTTGTTTCAGACCCAGCGACATCTTCCTCCTCCCCCGCCTTTCCCCCCTTCGTGGTTCGTCTTTCCCCCCTTCCCCCCCCCGGCCCTAGAACAATACACACATACACACGCACGCATGGGCGGGTGCAACCCTAAGCCGCCACCATTGAGCTCTCATCCAAAATATTTCCCCATATCTTATGTCGCAATAAGTTTCATTCGCCACGTCGTGCTGCTGATGCGCCGACACGGTCGACAACGTGTCTGTCCTGCACGGCCTTGTGTTTTCCCCGCCCTGCCAACCGTCCCCTCCCCTCCCCGGGGTTTCAGAGCCCCCGGGACAAGCTCGTCCAGATCCTCAACTGTTGTAAGATCATCAGCGACTTCATCACCAGCAGGCGGGCAGGAGCGGGTGAGTGTCCGTCTTCCTTTCTGTCTGTCCATCTGTCTGTCTGTCCACATGTCCAACCCTAATCCCATAACTGTGCCCTGCAACCCCTCCTCACCCTTGGTCGGCGGTGCTGTTGTTGCTGTTATCGCGTGCCGTGTTGCGGTCCGGTGCCACTCACCCCCCCGCCCGCCCCCTCGTGCTGTGTGCTTTGGCGCCGTCCTCAGGCGCCGATGACTTCACGCCCACCCTGATCTACGTGACGATAAAGGCGCAACCGGAGGTGCGGTCGGGGAGCGGGACGCATGGTTGGTTGGTTAGTTGGTTAGTGCGCATGAGCCACGTGCATGCGGGCGTGATTTGTTGAGGTCTGGGGTGGTGGGCGGGCGGCTGGGCACGTGGTGGGGGTGAAGGTGGGGGGCGGGAGGAGCTGGGGGTGGGGGAGGGGGTGGGGGGGACCTACCCGCCCCCCTCCCCTCAGCCCTCCGGGCACCCGGCCGCCTACTCTCTATTTCTCCCCTCCCCCCATACACATACACACACACGCCCTCCCCCCCTCCCCTCTCCCCTCACTCACTCTCAGGCCCTGGCCTCCAACTTGTCCTTCATTGAGCGCTACCGCCACAGCACCCGGCTGAACGGGGAGGCGTCGTACTTCTTTGTGCAGATGGTAGGGTGGGGTGGGGTGATGGATTGCGGTGTATTTGCGAGGGGACGTTAGAAGGAGTGATCCTCGGGGTCGCCCGCGCACGTGCCTCGGCCGGGTTGATTGCCGTACGTGCCCGCCCCCGCACCTACCCCTCCCTCTATCGCTCGCTCGCTCGCCCGGCGCCCCATGCTGGAGGCTTTGGGCTTGAGTACGGCGGTTGATCCTTCGATTTGTTCTGGCTCATGTATGGTTTCTCCCCCCATGTACGCGTACATACATACGCATACTTAGATATGCATACATACATGCATACATACGCGTTGGGTGCCGGTGGTGGGTGCGGAACCTGAGCGATCCACTGAGAAGTTGTCTAGGGTGACTGGATGAGGGTGCCCCGAAATACCGGGGATGGCAGGGTTTCGCCGGGTAGCGGCCGCGGGTGAAGATATGGCCCCCCTGTCCCACACATACATACATACATACATACATACATACATACATACATACATACATACATACATACATACATACATACGCACGCTGTGCAGCAAGGTGCGGTGGCCTTCCTGGAGACCCTGAGCCCCACCTCTCTGGCCGGGTGTGAGCCGGACGAGTTCATATCCCACATGTTGGCGGCCGGGGCCATGAGCGAGCAGGAGCTCAGCGAGGAGCAGGTGGGGAGGGGAGGGGAGGGGAGGGGAGGGTGCTGACGTATTTGGTACCAGTGGACATACATACAGGTGCTGCACAGCAACCAGGTGGATGCGGTAATGGAGCTTCGCGGCTACCGTTGGAATAAAATGGTCGCCCGGTCGTATTCATGTGTGCGTGTGTACCTCTCCTGGTGCTGCCCCCCCCCCCCCTGGGGGGCGGGGGAGAGATGAGGGCGCAAATAATCAGGGTCGGTTGCCCACGTGCTGCTGGGGAACAGGTCGCTGCGCAACGGCGGCGCTCCGCCGCCGCCATGGCCGCCGTACCGGCGGCAGCGGCGGCGACGGCAGCCACCACGGCGGCGCCGCCTGCGCCAGTGTACGGTAACCCGATGCTTATTAACCGTCAAGGAGCCGTGTACGGGGTCGGCGGCGGTGTCTCGCCGCCGCCGCCGCCGCCACCGCTGCCGCCATCGCAGCAGCAACTTTCCGTACAGCACCCCATGCAGCCAACGTACTACGCCGGTTATCCGCCCGGGACAGTGTTGTATAGCCAGCCGATGCCGTACTATGTGCAGTATGGGACGACACCTGTGGGGATGCCGTACAGTCAACCGTGGGTGGCGGCGCCATCGCCTGGTGCGTGTTGTGCATGCCGTACGGCATCGTGCAGTGAACCTCGGGCCTCGGGCTTTCAAGGTGATTCACGTTGGGCCCACACCAATCCAGGGTATGCAGTTTGTGCGTGCAATTGGCAGTTGGCGGTTGCAATTCGGTTAGTCGACCAGGAAAGAACATCCGAGAGAGGAGTCGTAGAAGAGAAAGAGAGAAAAAAAACCCAAACGTTAAAACCTTAAACCTAAAAAACCTTAAACCAAACAACCTAAAATCTTAAAAATTCCGGTGTCTCACATGGATGGTTGACATCTGAACGTATGGATCCGACGGCAGCGGTCATCAACCACTTTGTTATGTGGGTCTGTTAACGTGTAGGGGGTTTAGTTAGTTAGTTAGTTATTGGGGGCCACCGCTTACATGCATTCTTTCAGGTCCGAACCTTCCAGATCTCGCTTGAGAGCTTTTTTCGTTGTCACCTCGGTGTCTCCGCCTGCGCCTGTTCCGGTCGCAGGCGCCGCGGCCCCGCCGCCGCCGCCGCCGGGCCCCCCGCCGCCGCCCCTCACTCCGCCACCGCCGCCTACCACGGCTACCGTTGCCGCCGTAGCTGCGATACCGGCCGTACAGCAGCAGCAGAAGCAATTTATTCCGCCACGGCCAAAATCGGTTTCGGAGCTGGAACGCGACGGCATCCGGTGAGTGATTTTTTGAAAGTTTGAATGTTACATTTTTTAAAATAGTCTCAGGGCGGAACTGAGGGAGGGAGGGCGGGAGGGATGAAAGTAGGCGAGGGAAAAACGCCGGGGGGTCAGGAGGGCGACCAGGAAGGCAGGACGACACCTCAAAAGGTTACACACACGTGGTCTCCGAAACCATACCTTCGTCCATAGGGCACCCTCAGATTTATCCAGTCGTACTCGTACTCACCTGCCCTCCCCTTTCTGTAATTGAATACCCGCCCACTTGCTGAAGCATATGACCTCTACCTGGCTTGTCTTTGCCCCCCCCCACACACCCACACACGGCATTACCACTAGTTTGGTGATTAAGGCGGAGGCGGCGGGAGAGTTACGGGCCAAGTATCCGTACTTGTACTGCATCAAAGAGTCGCTGACGCTGCACGACGTGTCCCAGCTGCTCGTGTCGTACAAGGAGCTGGTGCTGCGGTACGAGACGCTGGCGCAGGTTGGTGGGTAATCGGGGTCCGTACATGCCGTACATGTTGTTTGTTGACGGTGAAAGCAGGAAGCTCCCGTCGTCACATATTCAGTCGTTAAGACTTTATCAGCACTCTTTTTTAAGATATTTTTTCGTGTGCCGTACTTTTTGCTACACCCTCAGGCGGTTGAGAACAATGTCGTCAAGTACTTTACGGAACTGGAGGCGTTTCAAGCGGGGCTTCCGACGGAGCCGCTGGGTACGACAGCGGCGGCGGCATGGTCGGCGGCTCCCCCGCCGCCACCGCCACCGCCGCCGCCGTCTCAACGGCTTCCGCCAGAGCCGGGTCAAGATCTCACCTCACGGCGTTGTGGCAATGCACCGCCACAGCCGCCACAGCCGCCGCAATCCCACTATCCGTCATCAGTGCAAATGGCTCCCCTGGTCCCCGCCGTACAGCCGCCGCCGCCGCCGCCGCCGGAGCCCGCCCGAACCCGCTCTGCAGCCGGTGCCCGCGGCCTGGCCCTGGACCTATCGCAGTACATGCCGTCGTACCAGTTGGAAACCGAGGGGTATGCGTATGAAGCGGAGGTGATGGCGGCCGCGGAGGCAGCGGAAGCTGCCACTGCGGCTGCTGCAGTCGTTGCTTCTCCTACGGGCATTTCCCAGCCGGCGGCGCCGGCGGCGTCCGCCACCGCCGCCCCTTTGATCGACCTCTTATCCGACTACACTCCGGCGCCTCCGACGGCGACGACGACGACGCAGTCCTCCCCCTCGCCGCTTTCGCCCGCGGAGTCTGTCCAGCACTATCATCATCAGCACCAGCAAGCTGACCAAGAACTACAGCAGCAGCAGCAGCAGCAGCAGCAGCTTTCCCCGTCCATCAGTTTTGGTGGAGAGGACGAAGGTGACGATTACAAGAAGCTGACGCCACCAGGCTCCGTACGGAACACCTCTGTCGCGGAGCTGGGCGCTGCTACTGCCGCTGCAGCAGCCGAGACAGCTCCTTCGACACAAGGTGACGACGGCGTCCTTGCCGCCATGTATGAGGCAGCGGCTGTGCTTGCACCGTCAGCGGCGCCCAGCGCTGAGGCGATGTACGGCAGTTGCGAAGCTTCCGCCGGCGGCGGCGACGCCGCTGCGTCCCTCCTGTCGGATGGCGCACCCGCGTCATTCTCTACAGACGGACAAGGTCCAACTGACAACGGTGGCGCCGCTGCGCCGTCGCTCTTTCTAGAGGCGACTCTGTCCCCGCCACAGCCACCGCCACCGCCGCCGCTGGAGCCACTAACGCTGCCGTCAGCATTGGCGCTGGTGTCGCCAGCGTACAGCCCCACACATCAGGAAGAGGCGATGCCCACCGACGCCGCTGCTGCTGGCGGCGCCGGCGAGGGCCCCGCTGCCGTTGCATCGTCGCTGGCGGCGACGGCGGTGGCGACGGCGGCGGCTGCGGCGCCAGAGGACTTCAGTTTGTGTTTACTGCCTGACGCCCCGGGGGAGTTGCGGGACGACGATGCGGGCGCAGGGGCCTCTCTGCCGTCGTTCTCGCTTGGCGACCACTTGGCGACCATCAGCCCGGCGGCGGAGTTGGACACGTCATCATCGCCGTCAACGGCGGCGACGGCGGACCCCGCAGCTGCGCTCGTCTCAGTGGCGCCGGAGCTGGTGGTGCAGTCGTCGACGAGCAGTCCAGGCACGCAGGGGGGCCTGCCAGTGTCAACGGCGGCGGCGGCGGCGGCAACTGCCGCGGAGCCGCAGGTCGCGGCGGCGCCGGAGGATGCTGCGGCCGGCAGCGGCGACGGAGGACGCGGCGGAGACGGCGGCGGGGCTTTGGGTTTCGGCGACGTCGGTGACGTCAGCAGCGGTGGCGGGGGGGGGAATCTCCAGGAGACGGATGAGGAGCGGCAAGCCCGATTAGATGCGTTGTTGCAGCAGTTGTTGGGGTCTGGAGGCGGGGACGGTGACGGCGGCGGCGGCGGCAGCGGCGGCTGGAATGGGGGTAGTGGACCCGAAGGGTGTGTAGATGGCGGGAGGGCGGGTGAGCTGCCGGCGGGCGCAGGGCCGGAATTGGGTGCCTCCGCTGCCGTCGACGCCGCGCTGGCGTTGTACGATACGGTAGCGCCGGCGAAAGCCGTGCCGTATGATCCGGCGGGGGAGCTGCCGGCGGTTGCTCCTGTTATGGTTCCGGAGGGTCGCGAGGCCGTCGCCGGGTCTTCAGCCCCTGGGGATGCGGAGGAGGGGGTGGCGGTGATGGTGGCGGAGGCGACCACCCGGCCGGCAGATGTCTCGTCTTCCCTTGTGTAAGTGTGTTCTGCGAGGGGTCTAGGAGGGGAAGCCTTGGAGGGGAGCCCGGAGGGGGAAAGGAGATATAGGCGCATTTGGGAGAGCGAGGTTGGGTTTGGGTAGGCAAAAACGTGACGTGGCGCACTGTACTTTAATCCGCCAGGCCTGATGTGCGTCGCGACCAGCAGGGACCACAACAATCACCGGTGCGGTGAAGCATCTATTACTTTGTGCGCATTGAGGCTACTTCTGCTTAGACTCATCCGCAGGGGAAGTCCATTTCATTTTGTAAATTACTGGTTACTCCGTTATGCGCCATCCCGAACTGGAGCAAGGATTATGGCTCTACCTGCTGTAGGTCTGTTGCCGTTGGTTTACCACCTAGGTTAGGGTAGTAAAAGCTGCTGCGCAAATTCCATGGGGGCATATTTGTGTCATTCGGGATAAAGTGCGAGGGTTGGTGTATAGCTTTTGCAGGGTTGGGAACTGACCATTCCTTTGAAACCACCACAGCATCCACGATGCCGTACAAGATGTTCGCCCCGCTGATTACGTTGCAATATATATATTATATATTATATTATATATATATTATATATATTATATTATATATATTATTATATTATATTATATATATTATATAATATATTATATATAATATATATATAGCCGTAGCAGAGCCTAATAAAAAGCAGGACGCGGTGTTGGGTGCATCAAAACGAGTTTTAGGGAATCGATACAACGCAGTGGGACATGATGTATCAGATAGCCGGGAATGCACAAAAACATTTTATGGTTATAGATTATCGCAAATCGGCGCGTGTCGAGTTCAATACGGTATGCAGTATGTGCCCCCTGTAGAAGAGGACGATCCATAGGATGCACTGTAGGTAGTAGACTGCCGTAAACATTACCCTAGCACTACTGGTTGGGTTTTGCGGTGCCGTACGGACGCATAAACCTTTACTTTTGCTGGCGTGCGCTGTCCTCACCAACGATGTGGCCGGTGGCGAAGCCGATGAGAGCTTACATACATACTATCCACAATACCCAGGAACTCATCCTCTATCTACGCTAGTGCCCTCTATGGTATACGCACGTGTTCCAGAACCGAGGTCCACGATTGGAATTGCAGCTCCTTGGCTTGACGATTAGAGGAGCTGAACTTAGGTGTGCGCGTACACAGACATGTCAGGGAAAGCTGCCGCCTTTCCGGACCTCCGTTACTCGATTTACCAAAGTATCAAGACGATTTGCTCAACCATATGCATCAAGACGGGGCAACGTTGCGCTTGTTAAGCAGCCTCTCGCACAAATGTGTCCGGTCGTACTTCGCGAATAGAGAATCCGTACATCTCGTCCCAAAAGTCAGGAGCGAATTTTGCCGCGCAGATGCGCGCGTGCGATTCGCAAAATGCGCCTGTACAAGTGTATATAAAATTTCTTGGCGGATGAGGACGAGGTGCGCCAGCGCGTTGCGCAGGTGAGCATGTTGGCCATAGCCGCACGCTGGACTATTGCGTGGATGCTTTGCAGTAAATAAAAGCACCGAAAGCCAACGTCGTAGCTTGCAACTCTGGGCTCTTGAAACTGCCGCGGAAGATGAAGCGCTGGCGAAGAGGCAGTTGTATGCAGCACCTTGTTCAGAGTAAAGTGAAATTACAAAGTTGCGCAAAGTATAACATACATAAACTTAATTAAACATAAGAACAGATAAGACGTTTAGAGCCTTGTCGGTGACAAGGACGCCGCTGTTGGCTTGGAACAGCTATTTGCTGTGCATAGGGACGTGCCCGCGTTAACCGTGTTGCAACAGCTCAGGATGGATTTCAGCCAGCAACAGCCTCAAGAGCTGCTGCACAACCACCGGGAATGTCTTCAGTTGGGCACGTGTAATTTTGGTCGGCGGGGTCGAGCAACGTACGCAATGCGCACAGAAACCAAGGTGCAGCGTTCTGTAACATCGCCAACATATCCGGTACGCGGTGGCAGGCTTGCCGAGCACGAAATGAAGGGGGGGTCGCATCTCACCATTCAACTAAGCATGCATGTGCTCGGTTGAATGCTCGGTAGCGTGCGAGTTTACCCCTATCAGGATGTTTGTTTGCATATCCCTCCAAGCGAGAGGGCTTGGACCTATGCTGATGTTCGTTCCAAGAAGTGAACTGAGGACTGATGCTACGGTGAAAGATTTGCACGTAAATTCGCCCGTGCAATAAAACGCCCTGTAACTCGCTTACGCTAATCTCACATTCCAATATGCCACTGCACTTTCCTCTCCAGCCTGGCCACATTCTCTTCCTCGCAAACGTACTTGGGCAACTTACAATCCAACACCATACGGGCTTTGGAAACGCGGGCAGCTGCTTCACAAGGACCCCCCTATTTGGGGATCTGTTCCACATTATTTCCTTGCTGCTGTACTGATTGCCCCACGGATGGATTTCGTTCGTCTCGTCTCTTCTTCCATACTCTTAAGCCTAAACCGTTCTTTTACGCGAGACAAATAAAGCCGATGGACGTCGATGGACAAGATTATTCCTTTAACACAAGCCAAGGTTTTATTGGCACACGACAATCCGCCAGCATGCCATGCAACACTCCCCGCGCTCCCCGCACCCTTAATCCTTATTCTTCCACGTCAAGAGGGATGCTGGAGAGAAGAGGGGCCCGCAGCCCCCATATTATTCTAATGCATTTATTCTTGGTGCTTTGTCTCAGGGAAAAGATCTCACACATGATCCGAGGCAATACACTCTACGACATCCCACCCGGCACATCCCACGGCAAGCTACGCCTTGCTTTCGTAAGCGACTCTACCTCTATATATAATAGTCGTACAATCCTGTGCCATGCTGTCTGTTTGCAACGAAAGGCTGCATCAGCCCGGGCGCTGCGCGCGCAGATCAACCGCTCCCACCCGCTCCGTTATAACAAAACCATCCATCGTGCCCCGTGCATAGCCGGCATCCTACCGCGCGATATAGGTACTACATTTTCTTACGACATCAGCAGCTGGAGGAAGGTGTAGACGTCGTTAAAAGACGACGGTAACCAAGGTAACCAAGGTTATAAAGCAGGCCTGTTGCAAATATGCAATATTCTTTAAAACCCATGCAGAGTGAACCTTTCGAAAGACCATTTCGCACCGCCTCAGTCGGACGTGTCACGACACGGGCTCATTCGGACAACCGTCCAATATCTCGCACATCGTTTCCACTTTCCGACAGCGTCCCGTCCGTTTAAAGAGGACTGCCGCTTAATTTTGCAGCCTTTCCCCATATGTCGTATCGCATACACAAAATCTGGCAATATACCGTTACCAAACTTGGGCAAGGTGAGCAAAAGTTGTGATTCGAACGATTTCGAACGCAGTACATGAACGTGCCTAGCTTACTAACGGATAGAAACTTAGTAGTAACGTCCTCCTGCAATTTTTTTAATCTTCGCCGAGGAAAAAACGCTTTATCTATGGACATTTGACCCTCCATTCCGACTTCCCCAGCAAGCAAACACCGCTCCTCGAGCTAGCAGTAGCTAGCCGATCGGCTAACCATTATTCGTTCGCGAACGAATAACGGTTGGAGAAAACGGGCGGATTATCTGTCCACGCTCGAAAAAAAATTCTCCCAGCTTTTCAACGGTTCCAAGTAACGTGTTCAGGCATCCACAGGGGAACGAATCGACAGGAAGGCACGTCCCCCTCCAAAAGAAAAAAGCCTACGCTGCCACAAGTAGAAGGCAGCCCTATCCAAAGGGGCTATAATTTTAGTTAAAAACGCTCAGATCACGTTGCCGGCGAAATCTCCAAAGCCACTTCCCCCACGCTCAACCAGGAACTGCTTCTGTTGCGCCGTTGGCAGCGCCGACGCAACAGCCTTTTGTTGTAGCAACGCCCCTTGATGAGCCTCCAAAGACACCCCCACAGCTGCCACGGCAAGCCCGGCCACGCAGCCAAACGCGGGCCGGTCACCAGCGGCGGCACTGATGGCGGCGGCCGCCACGGCTGCCGTGGTCAAGTCATGTGCGACACCCGATGTGACGCAACCGGACGATGCTGCTGAGGATGGTGACACAGGCGCCAGCGCCGGCGGTGCTGCCGCGGTGACGCTGACGCTGCCAGATTTCAGCGATACAGTAGCAGATGAGGAGGGCTCGGAGCTGAGGGTCGGCGAGGCAACGACGGCAGCGGCGGCATCACCGCTGGCGGGTGCCGAACTGAGCACCTCCGCCTTCTTCACAGTGGCCCTGTCAACGGTGTCCGAGGACGAGGATCCCGCGCCGCTGGTCGACATCTGGCATTACAGGGAACAGCAGAAGGGTAGCACAGCCAAAGCAGGGCAGGCTAAGGAAAACGGGAAGTCTTTGCCCAACCGTCTACTTTGGCCCCCTCCACCTGCATCCATGTCGTGACTGTTTGACGCGCTCAACCGCAGGCTACATTTGCCGGAGCTACGTCGTCGCAGTCTCACGTGACAGGGCCCTCATCAGGCTATCCTGCTCTCCCGCCCCATACCCGCGTATCTCTTTTTTGTATGCATGTGCGCGTGTATGCGCCTGTGCGTGTGCGTGTCTGCAGCTCGCCTCCTCCCCGGGGGCAACCGAGGCGCACCACTGCGTCTCTGCACCCGGCCGTGGTACCTGCTCCCCCAGTCAGCACCCTTACCCTGCCACAGCAAACATTGATGCCCTACTCACTAGCAACACAATCCAGCTCCGTAGCCTCCGTGCACCAATATTCCCAGTGCTCCCCAGCCAGCACCCTTGCCCTGCCACATCAAACATTATTGCCCTACTCACTATTGACAGAAAGCACGTCCAGATGATGTTGACGCAATTGTTGAACAGCAGGCGGTACTCGTTGGGCAGCAAAGCGAAGTTGAGAATGCCGGCCAGAGGCCACAAAAGGTAGCCGCCAAGCAGAGTCTTCACGTAGCTGCAAACAGCACAAATGGAAGGAAAAGTAAGTAAGCCTAAATAACGGACACGTCGTGCATCCTCTTAGGACATGACCCTTGCTAAAGTCCGCTATGTACCTGTTTCGCAGCGTGTGCGGCAGGTCTCGTGGCTTGCCCTCGAGACACTTGATGACGGCAAAGAACATGAGCAGCCCCAGCGGCGCGAACAGAACCTGGTCCGCCAGCATCTTGGTCAACACGGCCGTGGGGCAGTGCGGGTTGTCGGGCATGATGTTGGAATCCAACAAGTTGAACCTGAAAATAAAATAAGTAGCGGAAGCAGCGGGAAATCGTTAGGACTGTTAATGAAACACCATGTGGGTCGACTATTATTAAAATCTTATCTAATGCATTTACGTAGCTCACCACCAGTGTCCCAGTGGAGTGCCGATTGCGGACGTCTCCAGGCACAGCCGCCCGGTGCGCGCCAGGTCCACTTTGCGACGATCTTCGCCACCACCGTTGGCCGTCGCCTCGCCGCCATGGCCGCCGCAGCCACCCAGACCCAGCTGGGCCAGCATGTCACCGGCAACGGTGAAGAAATTGCCCGTCACGATCTTGCAAAGGAGCGGACTCTCCTGCATATTATAAACGTAACGCGCATGCAGTTATCAAAGGCGTATTAGCTATGATGTTGGGTTTAAGCCCCATCTGGCGAAACTGGCGAAATAAAATTCTAAGCACCTGACTGCCGCCATCATGCAGCATTACCTAGGTGTTGCCTACCTCACGTGTGCAAACTGTCGAACCAAAGCAACAAACATAATGATAGCTCTTGGTCAAGGAAAACCCAGATCGTCATCGTCAGCCAACGAACCAACGAACCAACTAACAAGATCTAACTAAGGTCCGACGGAGGTTCTTGGGCCTGAACCTACCGGCTACCAAACCCCAGCTCCGAATCCCAGTACGCAATTCAAACAAGGAGCAGAGCAACTCAGAATGGAATCCTCACAAGGAAGGCCTCCTGCCGCCCGAAGCTTTAATCTTTATATCTAGCTTTCACGCTTTCGATCAGGTCCCCCCTGGGCCCCGTGGGAAGAGCATGTCCTGATCCAAAAATCCAGGATCCCATCCTGTACAAGAATCGTCATGACCCAGATGTTGGGACACTCTCCTGAACCATATCCGTGAAGCCGCAATGGTTGCTGGGTTACCAGCTGGGTGCGGGGCTCCCGCCCGCCCTCACCTTCAGCCACCGGTTGTAGTCGTCACACAGGCCGCCCACGGCGCCGCGCACCGCCAACGCAGCGCCCTCCGCAACGTCATGTGCATGTGGTAGCACCGTGCTGTGCGGCTCAAGTGATGTCACAGCTGTGGCCGCGTGTTCGGTTTGGTGATGCGCGAGCAGTGCTGACCAGAGTGGCCGCGAGGGGGCAAAGCCCTGAACAATGACGTCAGCAGTTCCGAGGTCCATTAAGGAATCCACGGCTCCGAACGCGAGGGGGGTCTGGTCTGGGCCGTATGCGCTCAACGCAGCGGCGCCCAAGAGCAAGCAGCCGCTGACGCCGGCGAGCACAGCGGGAAGAGAAGGGGTCGAGCTTAGGGGCGAGGGCGCGGATGGTGCTGCACGTATGGATGATGATGATGAAGAAGAAGAAGAAGAAGAAGAAGAAGAAGAAGAAGAAGAAGAAGAGGAAGAGTATGAGGGCGTAGTATTTATAATGGAAGAGTTGTCGGCGGTGCGGTTGGAATGCTGCGAAATGCGGGAGCCAGTAGCCACGTTGAGCGGCCCGGAGCGATCCCGGCTATGTTTTTGACGGTGATGATGATGGAGGGGCGCCGCTCGCGATGGCTGATGGTGCTGTTGGTGGTGCTGCTGCTGCGCGGAACTGCGGTTCAGGGTCGGCATTTTTTGTCGGCTGCTGCCTGACAATGTTCCTTGGTTCATGAACTCCTGCGATACCCGTTGGCGTAGGGACAGGCACGGATTAAGCTCTGGATGTTTTTGAAAAAGGAAGTTCAATAGTCGGTGCGCGACAGTGTGCGTACCAGCTGTCCTAAGTCTCTTGACCGCCAATTTTACTCGTAGCACAAAGCGATCTATCCCTTGCAGCAAAACAAGCTACGCATTACCTGCTTTGCGTCCTGAGCGGCCGAAATCCGCGCTGCAGGCTTTAGCAGGTGGCCACGTCCAAAGTGGGTGATGCTATTGGAACACTTGAGCAAAAATAAAATAAGGATCGCGAGAACAACAGCAGAGGCCTACCAAAAATAAGCTAATACCGAAAAGTTGGGACGACCGCGGCTTTTATCTGTTGGCATCAGCCTGCATGGAGCGTTTCAGGGGGCCCTGCGTCGACATCGCCTGCATGGATCACATTCTTGCTCGGAATGGGTAAAGCCTGACTTCTAGAAATGTCTCCTAAAGTTGCAATCGGGACCGGCATCTCGTTTTCCACTCTCGTGATGGTTGTGGGCAGACCCTGCTGGTCAACGCATGCATGCTTACCGGTCTGCCGACAAAAGACTGTGAAAGCGTGAACAAAAGACTGTGAATCGCGTTGGATCAGAAATTCCGCGTATCGGAGGTTGACACGAGCAGCGCCTAGGTTTTACTCTGTTTTACACATTCTCTTCCTGCCCCAGAAAGGTCTGGCGATCGGAGCCTTCCATGCAACTTTTCGAAAGATAATAAAAATTACCACAAACTATTGTCAAAGCAACCTGCACATCGCGAAATCGCCCACAGAGCTGTAGGACCCCAGCAGGCGGCCATCCCTGCTGCAGAGCGAGCCCTCTCTTGCGCGACGGCAGCCATGTCTCGGAATTCTTCTCGATACTCGAATAAATCAACACGATCGCCATTTTCAGTGCGCCCAATCGCGTCTTCCATAATGTGGATTGCTTACATGGTTCTGCGATTTGGTTAGTTTTCGTGACAGAACCTCCTATCCTTTTGGAGGCCAGGGGTCTGCGATGGCGAAACTGTTGGAGAACAGCGGCCAGCAAACCACAGAGCACCGCAGAGCCACCACCATAAACAAACTCAATTTCCTCCATCTCCACATCCCCGTCTGCACTTTCCTGCCTCTATCCCGCTATTCGTCTCGTCTCCATCACCAACAAGCGCACCAACCGACCTCTTGAGCAAACCTCGCAGCTGCCTGGCATCCTCTGCCGATGCCGCGCACGCGCCCAAGACTGCCCAAGCCGCTTCCCTGCCGCAGAACGCAGGCGGTCAATCCCTGCTAGATTCAACTCCATTACCACTACTAGGAACTACACTACTTTCCTTACTTTCATCTCTTCGCGCGCACGGCGGGAAGAGGGGACGGTTCACTCGGGCCGGAAGTTGCGGTAGCTCACCACTGCATAGAAGGGGTCGGAGCTGCTGCGCTGCAGCAGCCGGGTCAAGGGACCTAACAAGCGGCCCACTAGGCTACCGGCCTCTCCCAGGGTCTCTCTGGACTTGGCCCCGGTCCCGGTCGCTTGGGTCACCTCCGTCAGCACCTGAGGCTCCGTGAAACCCGACACAGCCTGTACGGCAGAGTGTACGGGCAGCAGTGGCAACAGTGCAATAGTAGTACTAGTAGTACTGAGGGTTTGAATAGGGTAAGCATTGAGTGCAGGGCGGTGAGGATGAAACTGAAATCCAATCAAGTGTACGGTGTGAGGGCCCGTTATCGTCCTTAAGTGTAGTGCTTAGCGTGTCAGCGTTTTAGGGGTTTCAGGGTTGTCATCTCGTGTCGTTCATCCCCGCGGGGCACAAACGCAGCCATACCATACTCTCACATCTTGGACCGCCGGGACACGCGTACCCACGTCCCCCTTCAGCCCGCACCAGCGGCACCAGCCACCCGAGGTGCAATACGACAAACCCTACCTGGAAATACTGCCGTACCAGCTGGCACCGGGCGTAGCCTGAGGCATCCCTCCATGCTGCTATCGCCTGCGAGTCGGCGAAATGAGCGAGGGAACTACGTATGTGTGTGTAACGACGCAAAAAGCCAACCTGAGCATCCCGGGTTCCACCTTTGCTGTGTTACCCAGTGTGGTGTTGGGAGGTTGTCTTGACTAAAGATCAAAACATGTGAGGAGAACTAGAACAGCTCTCCTTGCTGGTTTGCGACATTACCAATAACATAGCATGTTGTCGCTAGCTAACTTGGGCTTTATATCTTCCTTGCAGGGTTCGACACCCCGTACGGGGCCCGTAAGAAAATGGCCTTTTTTTCGGTATCCCCGTCAGGGCCCGTAGGACTTTTCGGTGGCTCCCGTAAGGATTTATAAGAGGCCGTACGGTACATATTCCCATGCTTAAGCTGCCGAGCATGCTTCTCATGCTAACGGCGTCTGGGCTTCCGGGCATCCACTTCAAGTACAACCAGTACCGCTATTTCGTCACGGCTATGCGCGCTCTGAGCGAAGTCATCCTTGCCGCCCAGCTTGTTCGAATCCGTGAAAGCCCATTCTTTAGTATTATGTCAGATAGCAGTACGGACGTATCGGGTGAAGATCATGTTGAGGAGCAGAAGGGATGGGCGGCCGTGGCGGCCAAGGCGCTTGGCTTTCACTGAGTGTGCCGTGTCCCCGAGTGTAATGGTTCACGAGAAAATAACGAAAATAACGATTTACAGGGCAAAAAAATGCAAAGCGTCACTTTCCACAGCGTTTCAGCCAAGGACAGCGCCCCCGTAAAGGTTTTGCGGGGGTTATGGGGGCCCCCGTAAGGTTTTCGGCCGGTACAGGAGCCTGGTACGGGGGCCCCTCCGTAAGGAAAATTTGGGAGGTACGGGGGAGCCCGCAAGTTTCAGGAAGGTCAGTGTCGAACCCTGCTTCCTTGGAGGATGCAATGCCTCCTTTACGACCTTGGCCCTTCGATTACGGCAACTGATTCGTACAGTACGGCAACGTACGTCATTTGCCTTGGTGTCGAACGTACCTTGGAATAAAACATGCGGTTAGAGAATGTGATGATGCAGACACCCCCCGGTTTGAGAACTCGGTAAATCTCGGCAAAGACGCGCTCCGGCTGCTGGAGGTACTGCACGCTGCGTGCCGTACGTACGGCACCGGTCAGAGATGAGAAAGGGAGACACAGGAAAACACGTGATTACGAAGCGTGTTGCAAGGTTACAGGAAAGCAAGACTGATAAAGACACGAAGAGGGTGTTACATTTGAAGGCGGGTTTCGAGACCCGAACCTGCTGGCCGGCTGAAACCCCACTTTCCATCCCTCCACTTCCCTCCACTTTCCATCCCTCCACTTTCCACTACCCCTTCTGTATGTTTCTACCTCTTGGTATCAGCATCATTCGTCTGTGGTTCGTCTTCACCCCTTCTGTTTTACCCTAACCCTAAACCCGTAAATAAAGAAATCCCTGAGCCCCTACCCCCCCACCTGACGCAGCACACCACCGCATCCAGGCTCCTGTCCTCCAGTGGCCAGCCCTCCGGCTCCTTGTTCAGGTCCCGAACGAAGGCGGCTGTCAGTCGGGGGTTGCGAGCTAACTCCGAGGGGTTCATTCCGTGACCCACTACCTGACAAACAGACAGACAGATAGACAAACAAACAGACAGAAAAGGTCTCAGGCAAACATACAGGCCGACCACGGACCGGCAGATAGGCAGACATGCCGTACAGACAAATAAAAATAGGGGTCGACAACGAGAGTGGTCTTACTGTCGTACCTTGCTGTAGTACACCTCCGGTGGTAAGTGTGACACCCAGCTGCTGCAAAGGTCCTGTTGGGAAATTGTGATGTGATGTAAGGGAAGGACAGCACAGCAGTGGTACGACAAAAGTACGGCAGGGAGGCGGGGCGGCACTCAACATGACTCTTAGCTGGTTATCAAAGATAAGTAATGGACACAGCTTTTAAAAGCTATGTGTGGGAGCGGAGTGGGGCAGTGGGGTGGTGAGGGAAAGGAAAATGGAGGAAGACGATGTACGGCGCACATACCAATACGGCAGCGCCTTCCGGAATACGTTGGCGGTACAGTTCCGTGACCTTGTCCAAAAAGTCCGCATCCACGTGTTTTACGAAGCGGGGAACATCTGCGACGGCGACGTCGCGTGGAAAGGTAAGGAAATTAAAGGAAAGGGAAACGGACTCGGACAAGGGGGAAGGGAGAGAGGGAGAGGTGCGGCATTGGGTGTATGTGTCTGCATCGGACAGGAGTTGGAAGGGATATGAGGTGGCTATGGCGGGGAAGCCGACTGACACGCCGACCCACCGACCCACCGTAGAAGGCCAGGTCGTCCCCTCCGTCCAGTTTGGTTCGCTCAGGACGAGAGAGGACCTCCCGGAGCACCGCACCGCCACCGCCACCTCCACCGCCACTGCCACCACTGGCACTGGCGCTGGAAGTAGGGAAGGGAAGGGATCAATGTTATGAAGGGGCTTGTGACTGGGCTCCGACCATGTTTGTGTCTCATTACGGTCTCGTAACCATGTTGTTGATTATCTGCCAATACGCCATTCGTGACTGCCCAAATGTACAGTCCCACAGGACGTTCTGGGGTTCAGTACTGAGGCTTGTTTGTGGGTGGCGATGTTTCTGGTGGCGATGTGATTAGTGCGGGGTCTGAGAAAGCTCACCCTTTTGTTGTAGAGAATCTCCGCGACGGTGGATTAGATAAAGGCGGTGTCCGTCGTCGCAGGTTTGCTGCGGGTCCTTGAAAGGCGCGCATGACGACTCTTCCTGAGGTGCTGGGAGCGTGAGCTGACATAATACTACAACACGCGCAAGCAGTAATACTCTAATAGTTAGCGCAATTTGACCTGTCTTATGATGAGGATATCTTATTTAGAGCTGGTCTGGACGCAAGCGGCGACAGGTGTTGCAATGGCCAGATGTTTAGTCACCTAATCCTTTGGCAATGAAGTACACTTGTTAAATTTGATACCAAAGCAGAAGCACAATGCACCATTTTACGGCAGAAACGGTGGCTTTCAGGTGGCTATAGTACCGACCACGCTTAGGTTACTCAGGCTGTACGACGATCACGGTCCAGGTTTACAAGCGCGATGACGACCAAAATTCTGAGTACGCTAGGCTTGTGTGGAGCCTTGTAGTTAATTAATGAGCGTAGCCTGAAACCAGTACGGATGCTAAGGTGTCCAGCAGTCCGATTTCATAAATATTTCAGTAGGTTTGCCCCGCTTAGGGCCCACATTTCCACAATTATATCTTGTTCTTTTTAATTTTAATTTAATTATCTGGATATACAGACGATTGGAGTAATCAAACTGCACGCGCACGACGTTACAGTCACCCAGTCTTTTTCCTCGACCGGAAATGAAGCGATCAAGCGACTTACCAAGACTAACATCGTGGCGATTTAATGCATTGCTTCTGACGATCGTTGTGGCATTGACTCTCCTCCAGTCGCAGCCCGTCGCCCATGCCGCACCGCCATCTCGCCCATCAAGAGGCTCCGCCAGCTCCTCAGGCTTCCCTGGAGTAATCCCTACATTGTTTAATGGTAACGTCCTCCTGAGTCACCACCTAGACCGCAGCTTTCCCCTTTTAATCCCGTTCACCCACATCGTTTTTCTTCGCATCCCATCAACTCCCCTCCTATCTCCCTTCAGCTCCACCTCCTCCAACCCAGCCGACACCTACACGCCCCCACCCGCGCACCCCAACTCCCCACCTTCCCTCCCTCCTACTTCCCAGGTAACCTTCTGGACGTGCTCAAGGAGTTGCGGCTTGCGCGAGGCGACCATGCGGGAGCCGCCCGAGTGGACTCCCTGAGGCAGTGGTTCAGCTTCTTCGGGCTGTATCGCGGGTTACCCGCACTCGGCATGGACCTCTACCGCCACAAGAGGTCAGTGGGTTTGGTTCTCCAGAGGTTGGAGGATGTCTTCATGGGGCTTCAAACCAAGAAAAAGATAGGGGAACTTTGGAAAGGGTTGTTGTATGTGGGTTTTTGAGTACTGCAAACCGTGCTGTACTCCTCTCCCGGCTTCGCTGACGTTGCTCCTGGGCCCCCCAACTCCCCCCATCCCCCATCCCCCATGCACTGCCTCCAGTCTGGCAAGGGAGGTGTACCGGGACTGGACTCAGCTGCTGGACAAGGTCACGGCTGCGCCGGGTGGTGGGCTCGGTGAGGTGCCCGGGGAATAGACGGGGAGCACCTGAACCCGCACGTGCACCCGCATGCGCCGGTTCGCGGGAAAAGAAAAAGGTGGAACAGGCCGGGGCCCTGAGTCTCCCCGCTTCCGCTCCTCGCTACGAGCTTGTCGCTGCGCTGTACGTTCCCATCAGAGCCAATCTCCCTTTTGCTCTGCAAGCAACCGCCTCTCCTGCCTCCCTCATTGTTACCTCACGCCTCCGTCCCTTTTTCCCTTGTCCTCCTCCGTTCTACTTGGGCTGCGCCCAACCCACACCACCTCCCTCCTCCCCCCAACCCCGTGGGCCCCCCTGGAGCACGCACCCGGGGTCCACAGCGGGCCGAGGCTGGGATGTGGTTCCGGAGCTGCTGGCGGCCAACCCGGATGCAGTACTACAATGGGTACGGCAGACGCTGCGAAAGGTCCGAAAGGCGTTCAAGGTGAGTTTAAAGTGGAGGTAAAGGCGGACAGACGGACATACAACGGATTCGACTAGGAAAGGAAACGATCGGCTAGCTGATCGGCTATTTGGCGACTTTTAGGTTTGCATGCGGTCAGTACTGCTCACAAACGACAGAAAAGCGCATACATACTCTTTACATACATATGCGCGGTCGTACAGATATGTATGTATGTATGTGATTGCGCGTGTACGGCATATAACCAGGAAGGGTGATTCCTGGTGTCACCACGCACCCTGTGCCGCACACCCCAGGTAACCACCACCACCACCAACAACAACAACCATAACAGAACCCCACACGTGTGCTATTACAACAAAATCAGCATCAGTCGCAGTAACAACAGCAGTAGCAGCAGCAGTAGCAGCAATAAGTGAGTGATGCAATAACAGGAAGTAAAACGCGGTGACCCCCTAAGGGCAGTTTTCGGGTTGCAGTTAGGGGACACGAGAACGGCGCCCGGGCAGCATCAGGCGGGCGAGAGGAAGACACGACACACCACCGTCGAATCAGTCTTCACTGGTTGGCTGGCTGGCTGGCTGGGATAGGTGTAAGGAGTTTCGTTGTTTAGATGTTAGTGTAGGGACAGTAAAGATCCACATCACCACTACCACTACCACCATCACCACCATTGGTGAAGTCGTCCGTTCGAATCCGCTGCAACACCACAATATCCATTTATTTCATCAATGCCATTCATTCATTCATTCATTCACACCGGAGTTGGGATCCCAGTGTCTGAGCCTGTCAGCTTAGGGGGTTGCCGACGTGTTTTACCCCCTCCCTCTCTCTCCCCCCCCCCCAACACACACGAATAGCTATTACGTCTTGCGGCACCGGTCATAATATATAAACACTTTTCTACATACATACATGCCTACATACATACATACATACATCGGGGTCGGGAGCACACAAGATTAACCGATTTGTGTTGTGTGCTCCCGACCCTTGCGCTGTGTTTCGGCTTCGGCCCCCGGCTCTCACGGCCCACAGTGTAATCCAAGTCATACATACATACATGCGCCCATAGCCTCTGCTAGCCGCCAGCGGCAGTATCTAAATTAAATAGCTGCCCTAAAGTCATCCACACAAAGCCGCTTGACCCTGAACGATTAATAGCCATCACCATCACCATCACCTTTACCAAAACCATCGTAGTCATTTAACCGCCATTGCTACTATCACCACCACCATTGCTCCTGCAAAAAGTACAAGGACGTTTTAACATCTTCAACGCTTTTTTGAAAAAAAACAGAGAGAAAACACAGCCCCCGGGCCTTTCTGACGCTGTGTTGCTGTTCCGTACTGCCAATCAGTGAGTCTGGAAATACCTCACTTCATCGCTCCCTGTCTCTCACCCTAGGGCTTTCTCTTGTCGTACATTCCCGCGGCAAAATCCCCCCCTCCCCCTGCTCCCCCTCACTCGGGGGCCACCCCAAGGGCTCCAAAAACGGTAAGGCCGCCGCCAAATTAAGCGAATTGACACGCGCACCTCCTCAGCCGAGACCGCATCTTCAGCTAAAAGAGAGAGAAAAAGTGTGTGTGTATGTATGCGGGTATGTATGTTTGTTTCTCGCGTCGGCCCGTTATCTTCCCGCTATCGGGTTCTGGCTCCTGTCAAAGACCCGCCTCCTCTGGCGCCCCAACGTCACACCATGTTTTCATACATACATACGTACATACATACAAACACCAAGAAGGTAGGTTGGTCCTGTGAAATCCGCGCCACTTCCTCGCAGCCACCCCTCAAAAAAAAACACCCGGGAAAGCCGTCCCCAGGGACGTTAAGGAGGGGCGGGAGGAGAAGGGGAAAGGCAAAAGCTGCGCACACAGACAGGCCCCAAACAGGCCGCAAGCATATGGTACATACATACATACATACGCAAAAACATCCTCCAAACGCTCACATATACTCACCGTTGAGTTTTCCTTCGAGCACTGTATTGACTTCTGCCCCTCCCTGACTTTTCATCACAAAGCACCCACCCCCACCCCAACCCTCACCCCCACCCTCACCCCCACCCCCGCCCCCACCCCCGCCCCCACCGCTCAATTAACAGATTTCGATAATCAATGCAGCGTTTGTGCGAAGAGAAATCCAACTATACAAAAGTGGCTGTCAGAGGACATGTGACCCAGGGGCGATCTCACGGATATACACATAAAAGGCACCGTCAGGAGCCGAATTACCCAGTCAGCAGTATATAAGTACGGCAATACACACACACACACACACGCGCGCGCGCGCGTCACCAACGCCGGCGACGGCACGTGAATTGTGCCCCGCCGCGTGGTGCCTTGCGCTGAGGTTACACACGTATCGATGTATTCAGCGTGATCCCACGTTCGGGCACATTCACGCGGCCAGGTTAATCTAAGGACTTGCGTTCAAAGACGGCTACCGTAGCTGGTGCGCTCCAGTATTTCGTCCCCCAGCATACGCGGCCAGCTTCGCTGCGGCGAGGTTTTTCCACAGCGAAAAAGTTTCACGTACTGTATATCCGTACACTTCTGTCCGTACACATTTGCAAGTCCAAACCAATCCGTACATACCTGCAAGTGCGAGCAAATCCAAGAGTCCTTTCGCTGCTAGGGCTGCTCGGGAAAACCCCGGCAAAGTCAGCAAGGGCACGTAGGCAGTTCTTTGGGTACATGCATCTTTGCACATCTACATACATACATACATACATACGTACATACATACAGATGCACACACATACATACACACATACATACATTTGTATACCCAAACACGCTGAGAAGATATGTTCCAGCATGGCAACACACGCTCATTACACAGAATTTAGAACGTACATAGTCGTACACCGTACACCGTACTACTCCCAGGGAAATGACGCAGAGATATGCTAAAAGGTGTGATCTGAGAGGGTGCATCATCAACAGGCCCTTTCTCCTCCTCCCACCCTCCCCCCTTCCCCCAAACCGATGCAACCCCCCCGAAAAGCACAGTTCATGCCACACAGCAGTGAACCCAGTCCATCTTCTAGCCCGCCTCGAAAGACTTCAAGCTCAGTTGCTGTTCAGGTAGTCGAGCTCTGTGGGGTGACGACCCACATCATGTATACAGCAGGCAAACATCATCACCAGCAGCACCCTCCACCCCCACCCCACCCCACCCCCACACATTACTCCACCATAAAGCCAGTCAACCTCCACCGCACCCACCACCATCACGACACACACCACATACATACATACATACATACATACATACATACATACATACATACATAGACTAACCGACTTGTGCTGTGTGCTCCCGACCCTTGCGCTGTGTTTCGGCTTCGGCCCCCGGCTCTCGCGGCCCACAGTGTAATCCAAGTCATACATACATAGAGTCCCCCCCGCCACATAAAGCCCACAGGCCGCCAGTCCTGTGTCCATCCGGACTGCCCATCCGGACTCCACTGCCGCCAGACACACAACGCAGCGCACCCACCTTCGCACCTCCAGCTACGCACCCTCTTAGCCCATCCAGCTCTTTTAAGGCACTCTCTTTCCTATTAACTCCCCAAATAACGCCGGCGCGAAGGAACCCCGACACACGCATCCCGCCGCGCAGCCACTTCAATCTAGTCAGCCCCCGGTCACCCTCACCCGTCCTTCCCCCATCCCCCAATCCCTCCCTCCCGCCCGCATCCTTTTCCTTTAGCGGCCCCCTCTCCCCATCTCCCAGCCCTGGCCCCCTGGTCGCTTCGCCCTTACGGGACCGCACCCCACTTCACTGCCACTCACAACAAATCGTCTTTCACAGGAAGATCTCACACGTCCATGCACGCCGCCCATCTCCATTCTCCACTACTCACTCCCCGCCATTCCCCCCGCTTTCCCCCAATCCTCATCAACTCCACCAGGGCGGTGCCGTATCCCGGCTGCTGGCCGACTGCATGGGGGAAGTTTCCACCGACCCGCACTTTATCTCCGATCTGATGGCGGCAGCTGAGCAAGTGGGCTGGAAGGCCACAGTATACATCCACAGCCGAGGAGACGGCAGCCCGAGCAGCTGGCTGCCCGAGCAGCTCACGGAACTGTCCCAACAGGTCTTTGAGATCGTGAGGTGAGGTGGGCTGTGCACGGGCTGGGGGAGGGGACTTTGGCTGGGGGGAAGACCGCGCATGGGGTTGGGGAAGTGCTGGGGGGCTGTCGGGGCTGGCCGGGGGTAGGTGTGAGGCAAAGGTGGGGATTGGGGTTATGTCGGGGGCTGGGGACGGATGGCGGCACTGGGGTTGTTGGCTGCCGGCGAGGGTCGATAGGCTGTGCGGGTAGCGCGCGGCTCACACTTTGGTGCGTCCTGGCCTGGGGGTTGTTGTTGTTGTTGTTGTTGTTGTTGTTGTTGTTGTTGTGGCTTTTTCGGTGTGTGCGTTGACATTGCGATTGCGACCGCGCGACTATATCATCCCTGGGGCTCTGCTTTTCCCCTGCTCCTGCTGCTGCTGCCGCTCCTACATCCGCAACGGCCGAACCCACCACGGCCTCTTCGGCCGCCTAGGCCAGATCTCCTGCAATGCTTCCCGACCCGACCCCCTGTGTCCCGGCGCGGCCGCCGCTCGCCCCACCTCTTTCTCCCGCCTCACCCCGCCCCCTCGTTCCCCTCCCCCCCCCAACCGGGTGATGATGGCGGCTGCTTATCGGGGGTTGGGGTGGCGGCTCCAGGGAGGAGATGTTCCCGGAAGGTCGCCGTACGGGTGGTCGTACGTCTACCCCTTGGTGGTCGTTATGGGGATATTTGGCCGGGGGTGGTGGTAGGGCCCCAGCGGGGAGGGGTGGGGGGGCTGGCGGGAAACGCACCCCTGAAGGCGGGCGCGGGCCTGAGCTGTGACTACCCATGATGTCGTGCGTGTTAAATGAAAGAGAGAGGGGCCCTGACCCTTTTTACAGGAAAGGAGGCCTTCATCAATTTGTATTGTATACTGGGGAAGTGCCGCGGTGCCGACCTGCCAGCCCGCTGGGGGCTCGTGCTACATTTCGCTGTTACTGAAAAAATGTTGTGGCTGTTACTGCCTGTTGCGGCTGCGGCTGCTGCGGTGGCTGCTGCTGCGGTGGCTGCTATGGTGGCTGAGGCCCACACCGCGGTGGCATCTGAGGTTGCGGCCTTCGCTGCTGGTGGTACTGCGCTGCTGCTGCTGCTGCTGCTGCTGACGACGCACATCACAAAGCTGAGGGCTGGGTACTGCCGCTCTATCGCCGCTCTACCGCCGCTACAGCCTAGGAGGCACTGGGCACCCCGGAGGAGGAGTCGGCAGGCACGGTCGCGGCCGCGGGTAGAGCAGGCTCTTCCACCCCCAGTACCACCAGCCCGTCACACGCATGGCTGTGCGCCGAGATATAACTTATAATCCTTCGAGCACGGCTCTCCCAGTAGCTGCCGTACGGGGTCAGCGTCACGAGCCGCGGCCGGCGGTCCCGATAGTCGTCTGCATCCTCCTCAGTCTCGACGTCTTCAGGGGAGTATGCGACGGGCGGCATGTAGCTGGTTTCGCAGTCGCTGTCGCAGCTGCCGTCGACGGCGAAGGCGCGCCCGCGAGCCGGAGTGGTCGAGCGTTTGCGGTGGGACCCTCCGTTGGGTGAGGAGAGGTGGGCAGCAGCAGCACTGGCTGGCGCCTGCAGCGTTGATATCGCGTCCTCATCCACGACTTCGATTTGTACCGCAAGGCACTGCAACGGGAGTGCGGGCAGGCGCTCGGGCCACTCCATGAGACACACCGCGCGCGTTAGGGAACCCTCGAGGTCGAGCCGGTTAAAGTCCTGGACTGATGTTAGCCGGTAGAAGTCGAAATGGTGGATGGGAGGGCCCTGGTGCTCGTCGTATGTGTTTTGAAGCAGGAATGTAGGAGATGGTACCGGAAGGAAGTCATCCTCCGCCACCGCGCGAATGAAAGCGCGACTGAAGACACTTTTACCGGCTCCCACGGCTCCGAAGAGGCAATAACAATCTCCAGGACGGATGTGTGAGGCGAACAACGCCGCCAGGCAGTCCATTGCTTGCACTGTTGGTGCGGCTAGCCGGTGGTGAGTAGGGATCGTTGCTGGTGCTGAGCCAATAGGTATGGTCTGTGAGCGCGCTGCGGTTGATGCAAGCGGTCTTGCCGACAGGGGCCGAAGCAAGTCTAATGGACGTCCGCTATGCATCTGCTGCCATGGCTTAGCCCATAAGGGCTTTTGATGTCCTCTATTCATGTTTATGTGATCCCGAAGGCTGCGATGGCGGTTCCCTCTCTATTGTTCTTCTTTCTACTTCAGAGCGTGACTCAACGCGCCATCAATGCCTAAAAAACGACTTTAGAAGTCAGCATGTTTGCGGTGGCACAATAGTACACAATAGAGCGAAAATCAAGCATACCAGAAGCCGCGGATTGGGCGCAACAGGTTCTCGGACACGCTTCGTCAGTACAGTACGCCAATCACAGCGACATAAAACGCATCGGAATCAGAATCGGCCTATCAAGTTATGCACAATGTTGTAAGCGAAAAAGCTGTAGGTTCACACGAACGCGACTGTTGCCCCTCGACCGGCCACGTGCACCTCACTTGGTCCCGCCAGGTGTGTTGCGGCACCAGTACAGTATTGCCCCATGTGTCCCTTACCGGGCCATGTTTGCGAAAAGGTGCGCTTGTTATTAAGTCTTTGCTTTTTGCTTTCTGAAGTGCTGATTACGCAGACCTCACATGTCTCATCGGGCCATTGTCTTATTGTAACCTAGACCTGCTCTTCGTAAAACTTGTTTCCTTTATATTTCTGTGGAACACGGTGTCCATGCCACTTGGTTGGCTGGCCGCTCAGCGGCTCCGCGCACGTAGCTTTCTGATCGATTCCACGCCTGTTTAGTTAGGATCCAGGCGCTTGGGCATCATGCCTGGAGGCCTGAATAGGACCAAAGCTTGCCTAGCACCAGGCAGGTATATAACGCCGTATAAAGCACCTAAGCAAGTATTGTGATGACAATCACATGACAATTACGTACACACGTCCTAGGTCCCTTGAATCTGACCGAGGCCACAAACGGATATCCAGGTCCAGCCCATCATTAACCGGAGGTACATACATACATGAATACATACCTCTATGGCCGACACGTCTAGGTGGCAGGCACGCAGGGAACAGTGAACATAACGCGGACATTGTCTGGCCTATCTCTCAGAGTCCCACTGCTAGATGTAGACGACAGGAAGTCCAGAGGGTTGCAAAGATTGGGGATTGGGGGCAGGTACTGGTCAGGCGGGATGGGGAGTAGGGTGACGACGTCAGGTTGGGTTTAGGGGCCACGGCAAGGATTGGGGATTAGGCGTGCTACACTACTTTTAGGATGGGGATTGCTGTCGGGGTGAGGGTGGGGATGGGAACCCAGCCAGAGGGATGGGGTTTAAATCCTTGACCAAGGACCCTGGCCGAAGGGATTGGGGATGGGACCCTGGCTGGCAGGATGGAATTGGGGGGTCCAGCTGTAGGATGAGGATGGGATTTGCACCGGCCCTTAAGATGGGGGATGGGGGACGGTTGCCCCTGCCAGGATGGCAGGATGGCTGACCAGCATCCACCCCCAGGATTGGGGATTAGACCCTTTTTGCAATCCTCCGGGAAATCCGTTTGTGTCCAGGTAGCTAAGCCGCCTGGACACCACACACGCACGGTCCAAGCTGCCAACAAGGATACGATTGGACGGGGCCAAGCAAGCCGAGACGCAAACTACTGTTTGGGTACCAATGAAACAAGCCGCACCCGGCTTTAGGATTTGATCTTTTTGTAAGTATATGGTGTTTTGGTGTAGTGTATGGTGTTTTGTTGTTGCCAGCGCCTGGGGTTATTCTACCGCGTCCTTCGTTGCCGCACTGCTCGTTAGTTACTCAGCACAAACAAGAAAAACAAGCGACATAACGGCCCAACAATGCTTGCGTGCGATTCCAGGTACGATTGGTAGCATCACGATTGCGTCACCAGGACGTCGGCGCCTACTCCATAAGCCAATACAGTGTCAAATAGCGATAAATGACTATGCTGTTTGGGCAACACTACCCAAACATGGGTAACAGCAGAACGCCAGTGAAAGTGGCTGGGTTCAGGGACCCTCATCCCACCCACAGAAGATCTGCGAGATTAAGTCCCACTGCGTGCTTACAACCCTAATGCCAATAGACAAATCCATTGACATTACATTATATTAAGATCTGTAACTGGGATTAAGTGTAACCGTTAGCAGCAGCAGCAAAGCAAGCTGTCGTACACGTGCGGCAGCAGCAAACCCTTTACCAACCTTGTCTCTTGCGTATGGAACAGGCCGCCAGTAAGTAAAATCCGAAATTACATGAAACGTTTTGCCAGGCATACTGATTTAGATTAACACTTTGAGTCGCGAGTAGGCGCCCGCAGCAATGGACCCAGAAGACAGCCCGACATTGCAATTCGACATTGCAGAACAGATCACCCAATTAATGCAATGCGATGCGACCATTAAATCACTTCGTGGGGTGTCCAGAGAATGGAAAGGTCTTGCAACGAAAAGGGTGCGGCATTTGCGGCCTCGCGCCGGACAAAACGGAGGCGCGCTGGATTTGGAAATGCTCGCTGAAAGGTGGAATTGCAGCAACAAATACAATCGCGTCACTGAACGGGCTTGCCTTCGTTTGTTCGCGCGGTTCGTTGAGCCTGCCTTAAAGGAAACTGCGCCCAACCCCTGGCTGGCCCATGCAGATTCCCACAGGTGGAAACTCTCAACCTAAATAGTGTAAATGGCCTGGTGCGAGATGAATGTCTAGCTTCATGCTCAAAAATGCGGCATCTCCGTGGAGTCGTGCTCGACGGATGCAAGCACATAACCAGCGACGGGCTTAAGCAATTGAACAAAAATATTCAATCTCTCAGCTTGAGGAACTGCTCACAGGTGAGGCGACCGCCCGCGACCCCGTGGCATGTGGATTGTTGACTCCCCAGTTCCAGGTCCTCCTTTGCACCCACCTTAAATCCTTTTCTAATCAAATATTTTGGAAATATGTGTATGACGACACCTCGCCATTATGCACTGTTCTCGCAACGCCATCTTGTGTATTGCACCCCGGGGTCGACCATCGAGTTTCGATTTGCAGCCTTCCGACCAGGAGCACAAGATAAAAGCGCAAATTTAATACTTCGATGCACATCTTACATCGCCACTCGCCTAGCAGTCACCACCCAAATGTCGCCTCCCCCCGCAGATAACTTGGACCGGCTTGCGCGAACTGTCAAACTTCCCCAAACTCACCACCCTCAACATCGCGGGCATAAAGCCACCCGGGTCTGCTGCTGTCGCCGCCGGCCACGGCCACCTCCAAAATGTGCATGCACACGCACATGCGCCGCCGGCGGCCGCTGCGGGTGGCGGGTCCGCTGCCGGCCCCGTGCTGTCTGAACTTCTCCAGCGCCTTGAGAGCCTCACACTGGGTGACCCCATGGCGCTGTCCTTCATTGCGGATCGAATGGTGGTGGAGGAGCTGGCGGCTGTTCGACCCGCTCGACTGACTCACCTGGACCTCAGCGGATGCATTGATCTGACGGATTGGGGTGCGTCGACAGCCACTGAGGTGGCGGGAAATGCAGGGGACTGTATTTCGGCTGCACCAGCACGTAACCCTCCTTTTACGTCTCGTTTGGTCTCACACTGGTGAAAATGCCTCTCTCCCAGTTCTTCTCCCGTATCCATTGCACCATCCGCTGATCTTGCACCATCTTTGCTTCTTGCATGCCATTGCCCCCATACACATCACATCTTCATTCCTCCTCCCCCACCTTCCTCTCTCAAAACTTTCTCGCTTTCCCCACACTTCCTCTCATCCTGCCTGCCCTCCCACAGCCGTCCATGAGCTGTGTTGCGCCATCCCCGGCCTCACAAGCCTCAGTCTGCAGTCCTGTGTTAGACTAACCAACGGCTCCATGCCGGAGCTGAGCCGCCTGCCCGCGCTGCGGGCCCTTAATCTTCGGGGCTGTCTGCAGCTGAACGACACGGGCCTGGCTGCCGGGCTCTCCGGGCTTAGCTGCCTGCAGGAGCTCAATCTGCAGGGCTGCACCTCCATTACTGGTATGTTGCCGCGCGTTCTCGGATTATCGCTGTTTCCGTACCTACCCGTACCCGTACAGCAGCGCGGCGCTGAGCCATCACAAAACCATTATTACATCACCATCCCCGGAGGTGTGATAGCGATTAATTAAACATTCGCGAGTTAGGTTTTTTCTCTGTGCCTGCAGGTGTTCTCTCTTACACGTTTAGGAGCTTCTCCTTGAGTGCTCGAGTGCTTGAATTTCCCATTCGGACGAATGATGTCCGTGATTTTGTACGACACCCAAATTGTTAATTGTCACAATTCAGGGCATTATCACACAGTACAAAACTCCAACAACTGTATTTCCCTTCTTTCCCCCCCCCCTCCGGCCCCAAAATGTAGGTTCGTGTCTGAGCTCTCTAGCCCCTTGCAAGTCCTTGTCAGTCCTCAACGTGTCGCACTGCGCGGCCTTTAGCAGCTTGGAGCCGCTGCGCTGCTTGCCCGGACTACAACGCCTGGACGTGTCGCACTGCAGCAAGCTCAGTCCGACGAGCATTACGGCGCTCACGGCGCTGAGCAGGTTGACGGAAGTGCGGGTGAGATCGGGAGGTTGGGAGGTTGGCTGCAGGGGGGCCCACATCGAGCGCCAGGGATTGGACCCAACAACCGGCAACAACTAGCAGCAGCAGCAGTATAGCCGCAGTACGGCAGCAGGATGCGGAAAAAGAAGCAGAGGTACGCCAGCGCTGCGGTACGAACACTCAGCATGTTGTACATTCATAGCTGCTCTAGAATATCCACCCACCCCGCCCTACCCCTCCGCACCCCACCCCGGGAATAAACCCCCCCATGCCGCTAAAACCCACCCAACCCGCTTTCCTTCTCCCCTCCTCCCCAGGCAAGCCACTTGCGAAACCACTCCACTCCCCTGGCACCTGCCGTGCCAGGTGCGGCAGGTACGACAGCAAGTACGGCGGCGGCGAACCAGCTCGCCTCGCTCGCTTTCCTGGATCAACTCCAGTCCTTAGATTTGTCGTACATGAGCAGCCAGGGCGGCGTGCCGTCAGGCCTCCTGGACGCCGTGGCGGCCCTCACACGGCTGACCAGGTTGAACCTGGCGGGGTGCGGCGGCCCCGGCGGCGCGGTGGCGGCGGCGGCGTCAGGGTCTACTGGTGCTGGGCACCGTCGCGAGGCACGCAGCGGTCTGGGCTTCCTCAGTGGGCTGCGCCACCTCCAGGATTTGGACCTTGGTTCCTGGCAGGTGGGGCGGAGGGTGGGGGGTGGGGTGGTCTGTAACGGTGTCTTCGCAGCTGGGTTTTTGCAGGTGTGTGGTTTGGCAGGGGGCGACCCGCGGGCCATGAGGCGGGGCGGGGCAGGAGGCCGTCAATCCGAGTCTGGTCCGAGCACGGGAACCTTATCATCTTTTAAATGCCTGTCCGTGCGCCGTTTGTGTTTTTTGTTTTTTTAGCGCCCTTCCCCAGTCAATAGTCGTCGCGATATGCACATCCGCCTCGGGGGATGGCGCTGATGTTGCCGACTTTCAGGCAACAGCTCACTGTCGTATACCATGTATCGTTCTAACTGATGATCGTATGTTAAACATCGTACTGAAATCGTACTACAACTCGCAGGAAGTGGACCCCCAGGAGCTGTCCTGCTTGGCGGGCGCCACCGCGTTGCGGCGGTTGGTCGTTTCTCGGTTGGGCAACCGCCACGCCAACGCCTGCTTCGAAGGCTGCGACTGCAGCGGCTCCGCGACGTCGTCACTCTACCCAAGTCCCTGCAGCAGCCCGCGGAGCACCGAAACCAGCCCACCGTTCGCCACCGAGATGGCGGCAGCAGCACAGCCGCAGCCGCAGCCGACGCTCGCGGCAGCAGCAGCTGCTGCGGCGGCGGCGGCGGAGGCGCGTGACGGGTTAGCAGGTATGGCGCGCGCATGCGGGGCGGCAATCAATGCAGCGGCTGATGTTGAGGAGGTGGAGGAGGCGGAGGTGGAGGAGGAGGAGGAGGCGGGGATGTTTGCATGCGGGGCGGCAATTACGGCAGGCTCGGAGGACCTGATGCAAGGTGCGATTGTGTGAGAGAGTAAAAGGAAGTTTGAACCCACGTCGGCCGGCATAGCGAAGGGGTGTATGTAACCATGTCCCGTGGCGTCCTCGGAACGGGGCAGGGTGTGTGTTTTGGGCGTTACGTTGCGTCGCGTGGTGTGCGCTGGTGTTGTTGTTGTTGTGAATCCGCGGGGCGTGCCGTGCCGTCAGCAATGTGCCATTTTTCCATGCTGCCATGCCGTACAGTGCAGGTACGGACGCTGTCCTTCCGTTGTACGGCACTTTCGCGTTTAGCGCGCTTTCTCACCAATGTCCGGAGCCAACACTAACCCCGGACCCAAAAGCATTGAAGATTTCACGGCTTCTTCCCGTAACGCCAGACTCGCACAAAATCACACTGCCTCCCAGGTTCTATCCCACGCACACAGAACAGCAACACTAAACAAACAACTAAATTAACCGACTCCCTAACCGCCTGTAGGTAGCCCTGGTGGAATCAGCTACTCGAGCAGCAGCAGCTGCAACAGCAGCAGCAGCGGCGATACCGTCGCGGCTACATGCTCTTTCTCTGCATCCCCCAGCAGCTCATCGGATGCTTCTCAGCTGCAGGTGTCGTCGCCTTCTGCCGAGTACGACACGCCAACCGGGCCATCGTCGTTGTCGTCGTCGTCGTCGTACTCCTCGCAGCCGATCAGTGTGCGCTGCGGCGCTGCGGTGACGCCGACAGTGGAGGTGGAGGCGTTATCCAGCATGGTGAAGGCAATGCGTATCTCAAGCTGCTCTGGCGATGGGGGTCGCTGCGGCAGCGGCGGCCGCTGCTGCTGTACCCCCGCCGCTGTTGTTGGAGTTGTCGCGGCGGCAGCCGCTGTGGCGGCGTCGTCGACGGTGGCTGCTGGCGGCGGCGGCGGCGGCGGCGGCGGGGGCCCCAGCAGCTTCGAGAGCATACTTGCGGCGGTGCCGCCGGTGGCGGCGCCGTTGCCTTGCCTGGCAGAGGCTGCGGCGGCTGGGTCAGTGGCGGCACGGATGGGGCTGTTGTACGACCTGCCGCCAACGCCTCTTACACCGCGACCGGGCCTGGATGGCGCGCTAGGGCATCTGACGGGCCTTACAGCCCTGGCTGAGATCCACCTGGAAGGTACGGCTGTACGACGGACGAGAGCGTACTATCGTGGCAGGCCAGTGCCGAACTGGAGAAGGAAATGAAGGCGCCTCTTTCCCTCGTCCTCCGACCAGCAGCTGATCCTCATGTCTAGCTGCCCCCCGTTGACCGACCTGCCAGTGCTCAGGTAACCTACCTCACCTCAAATGCCTGCCTACCCATCTACCTACCTACCTACTTACCCATCTACCTACCCACCTACCTACCTACCTACTTACTTATCTACCTACCTACTTATCGATCTATCTGCGTTTTGTCCTTCCTTATTACACGTATCCTTGTTACCCCTGCTTGTTCCGCAGCCTGCAACCACGTGACCGATGAGGGTGTGGCTCGCCTTGCCAGGCTGCCCCGGCTCGAGCTTCTAGACCTGGGCGGCTGCAACCGTGTCTCGGGCCGTACCCTGGGCGCCTTCGCGACCCACGGGTCGTTGCAGACGCTGCTGCTGGGCAACTGCGTGAGCCTCACAGACAGCGGCCTGGCGGCGGCCGCCACCGTCGCCTCCCTGAGGGTGCTCGACGTCAGCGGCTGCAACCGGCTCACGGATGTCGGCACGGTGGCCCTGGGGTCGCTGGTGCGCCTCTCGCGGCTGTCACTGCGAAGCAACTCCAAATGCTCCGACAGGTAAGGAGGAGGGGGACCACAAGAAGGAGGAAGGGGAAGTGGAGGAGGAGGGTGGGAATGGTAACAACCGACCTCAACAACATAAGGCCCATAAGACCTTTTACCCACGTACCCAACCACAATGCACGGAACCACAACCGTTCTTTAAGGCTGATGCACGTGCGCACACTCGTTGTTCTGGCGATCATTATATCGTCCATCTCTCCTTGATGCCGTGATGCCTTCATTATACTTGGCACGCGTTTTTTCGCGTCGTTTTTGCTGTCATAGATGTATGCTAATAATTTATCCACGTATGGACGGTCAATTGACGGATATACATGATCGTGACATACATGATTTTGATAATTATTAACGAGCGGCCATATACATCCATGTTCGCGCATCATCATCATTCGTGTTTGACCCCCAGGACTGTTGAAGCGCTGTCGTGGCTACCCGCACTGCAATGGCTGAGTCTGTCTCTTTGCGGCGTGACCGACGAGTCGCTGCGGCTGCTGACAGTGTCTCGCTCGCTGACGTGGCTGGATCTCAGCCACTGCTGGCGTCTCAGCCGGGCGGGTGTACGGCAGCTAGAGGTGGAGCGGCCGCAGCTGAAAGTCATTTTCAGCGGCCGCAGCTGAGAAGGCAGGGTGGGGGTGTACGGCAGCTGGTCAAGGCTTTTCTGGGGCAGCAAAGGGAGGGGGGCGTGTAAAGAGGGGGGAGTGGGTAGGGGTTGCGGCCGCGTGTGAGGAGAGGGGATGTGAGGAGCGCGCTGAGTGACGCGGCGGATGAGCGCCTCGCTCTGTTTTAGATTTTGCAAGAATGCGCGCGGCGCCGATCTTCGCGCTATATTTGGCGACGCAGTTTTCCCATTCCTTTCTTTTTCCTTTTCGTAATATCGTATGTGTTATTGTCTAATCGTCTAATAATTGTCTTGTGTGGCACATGGTGAGGAAGGAAGGAGGAGTTTTTGCTTTACTGCAACTGAAAAGCGAACCCGCATCCTTAAACAGATGAGGCCGCGATGGCTCCGCGTGGCAGCTTATTGATTGCTTGCCTGCAGTCGCGTCGTGTACTTTTAGTGATGTGAGAGAGAGACCCACCCAGCGGAAGAGTCGCGAAGAGAGTTTTCATTGGACTCGCCCTTGTTTTGAATTTGAATTGGGTTGTCTTGTATACGCGGGTAGGGGCAGTTTCGCGGGCGGGCGTACGGGTGTTTGCCACTTGGGCAATCCGCCGGTAGACCTTGCATTATCATATCCCCCTTGGAGCGGGGGCCGATGCTGGAAGAGGAGACCGGCCGTACTGCTGCACATACTTTACTGGTGTGCTGCATGTTGAGTCAGGTCGTGACATTTATAGCGTGTGAGGAACCGACTGTGCTGCATCGAAGGCCAGGGTGATGAATGGGATGTCTGGAAGGCAGCTGCCGCCATCGGTGTCTGATGTGATTTAAAAGAGCGCTCCTTTCTTTAATTTGGGTTTGCCTCGCTTGGGGCACTTTCCCTAAGTGAGCGCAATTATTAACTTTTCTCGTTGCAATGTCGTGATATTTCTTAGTAGTCGAAATCTGAGATGGTTAAACACCGGAATGCCGTATTATGCCGTACTGAATGGAGTGAGTCAGTTGCAGATCCCTGGAGTGCATGTACGGCATTCTGCAAGCCCAAGGGTTGCGGTGTACACTTTTCCTCCGTATTGCCGTGCTTGCATTACATGATTGGCCAGCTTTTGTGAGGATGGATTACGAGACGTTGCCGATAGTGCTGGAGGGTGTTTTGCCTGAAGGTGAGTAAGTGAGTGAGTTGTGAGTGAGTGAATTTTGCTGATGTCCCTAAATAACGCCGTGCTTGAACTCAAATTAATGACATGACAAGCTTGTACGTGTCACGTGGTCTGTCAGCGTGGCCTTTAATTAGCTGTCGAGGACGGCGATTTCGGGAGGCGAGCGTTCTCGCGCAATGATTGATCTCTCTCGCATCAAGACTGACGCACAACGGTGGGGCCCGGCATGTACCATAGCTCTATCTGCTTGGCAGTCCCGCCCTGGGCCGCCAAGCCAAGCGTCTTTTTCTAGGGCTTGCGATTACTTATCGCAACTGCAGACGCATATTTTGTGGGATGCTTGCCGTTGCTTGCTACTGTTCTTGGCTGGGTGCGCGGGAATGCGGCTATACGTTCGGCTTCAGGTTCAATCGCCATACGCGCCACGTCGCGCAAGCATAACTAACCTGTGGCATGGGCTATATTCTCGTATTCGCGCCATGCAAGGTTGGGTTTCGGGACCGGGTGCCAACATCCAACCTATGCGCTATTGTTTTTGTAAGGAGACGAAAGGCAAGTAGATATAGGATGTACTGAAATCCTAACCTGTAGCGACTCTTGGAACCGTTCAACACATCCAAAACCCACTTTCTTAATCTGCTTCATTAATCTCCTAGCCATCTTACGGCGATAGCACACGCAGCATGCAGCTTTCCAGTCTTTGCCTCATCTTTTGCTGCACTGAATCCAGCGCTGTCTGCTATCACTGTAGGTATAGATATGTTGACGGGCTTCGGAAATGTAGGTACGGCAACGGCTTTGTTGCCAAGTGAATGCTACCGACAGCTTTGTGTACGTGTATACCGTTCTCGCAGCCCCCTGCTGTTAGGAACAGCCAGAGAGCAACGTTTCACGCCTGGAAAGGAACTAACTAGATGTGCACGTGCGTAAACCCGTAACTGTATAAAAATTACAAAAGAAATCCATAGGAGCTGCTTAATATAGACATACGTAAGATTGCAGCCTGGCAAGGCATGGCCACACCTGACATTACCTGACACACCTGCCAGGCAGGAAAGGGCGAACGGTTCATGGGAGGACATGGCAAGCCGCACAATCCATCCGACACCACGTGCCTCCGTTGTGGGTAGATGTGGTGGTGGTGATGGTGGATGGGTTGGGGCCACCACGTGCATTCCCCTACGACGAAGGAAATCTGCACAGAATCCCATGTACCCCAGGCTCATCACCAGGCAAATCATGCAGACGAACCACCGGAGGGATACAAATGAAAGCGGCAGGTGCATGCACGAGGAATTACATGTAACTTGCTTAAATATCATCGAAAGCCTAAATTGAATAAATTTCCTTATGGACCTTTCCTTATGCCTACGTTAAAGCTCATGAATGAGCCCAGGCGAGCGGGAAAGGGCGTCAACACGTGGCCCACTGACTCGGTGGCCCACAATAATGGCTATTGACCGTCCTTGGGTCCCCCCCTGGCCTTTACGGATGGACCTCACATTTGTGCGGAACTTGCAAAACTTGTGCAAAAGGCTGACGCGGGCAATCCATCCTGCTAAGACTCTTCATCAAGGAATGAGAACGAAATGCACTTACCCCTTCGTTTTCACCCCTACGTCTTCTTCTCCCAAAGACACTCCTCGTTCCGCCTGCTGCCTTCGAACGATGTAATCCATCCAGGAGAGATTCCCATCCCAGCTCCACCCTCACGGACGGGACTATCACCACCATCACGCACCAGCCTTAGGAGAAGCCGGAAATGACCTAATATTTAATAATATGTTAATGGTTTTGGTATGTCGCAAGAAGATCTGGCAGAACTAGCAGATAGACACCAGATAGATCCAGATCTGGAGGTATACCATTAGAAATCATTACTTTTGCAACCTGTCAGTGCACAAAGCCTAATATTGAACACTAAAACATTTCTGGCCAAACTTGATAGAAATAGGAAACGTTTTAAAAATGCAAGTAATCTAATCTGCTCACGTTAGGTTCTCCTGCCAGGCTGCCTGCTGCCTGCCGACCTGCGTAGCTGCCTGCTTTCTGGCTTTTGCCGATGAGGTTCGGATTACTGCATGGCGGGATTTGCATAACCGGATCCGTCTAACCCCCAAGCAGGTTAGTCACTCTCCGCGCTCAAATACGTTATGGCGATGCCGTGCGCTTTCAAGTACAGGTCCTCGTTCGGGTGGTCTTGTGCGTGCTCGATCTTAGTGCAGAGATCTTCCGCGTCCAGGATTAACTGAGCGAAGGGGTTTGTTACCTCCGCGCCGCCCGACGAGTTGCTGCTCGCCTGCTGTTGACCGGCCTTGAGGATGTTTTCCAAGCCCTCTAGAGCGGTCCTGACAATGACCTCGTCCGCGACAGCGAGCAAATCACAAAACGCACTGATCGCACCATTCTGCACCAGAAACGCGATCTGCGCCATGCTGCTGGCCGGCGTCGCGTTGCACAGCGCGATAGCTGCCTCCCTTCTGACGTTGATGTTCGGGTTCGACATCAGTTCAACGAGCGGCGGAATAAGCCCTGCATCGATGGCCGACTGGATTTGATCCTTGGTGCCGGCCATGATGTTGGACACGGCAAAGCATGCCTGCGAGCAGCCACCATGTGGCAGGTTGGCTTTTCAATACATCGCTTCAATGCAACTACCAACTAGAAACAAGTATCGCAGGATCATAGGACTCTTTTACCATGCGGATGCGGATGCGGATGTGAATTCGGATGTGAATTCGGATGCGAATGCGGATGCAGCGCAGGATACGTACCAGCTCAATTCTTCCAGCCGTACAGGAGAAGACTCGGAGCAGGCAAAACCGGGGGTTTTAGTTGTGGAAATCTTTCCCGTCTGTAGCAAAACCCATTTACTCTTAATCAAGCATTGGAGTCACGAGTCCGAACACGCGCGCACTAAAGAGCTTGCCATGGTGCAAACAGCCATCGCAGAGCCCCTGCTAAAAACATAGGCAGAATGCCATACCTCCCTCCCTCCCTACCGCCCAGGCAGTATCCGCGTATCAATATCAAATACCAACACTTCAGATTTAAGCTACCTAAGTGCATCGGGGTCAACTCAGGTCATCCCATTTAAGGAAAATCGTTGTTTGTGCTTCAACACGCATACGAGTGGCCCGCGTGGAAACTATGCAATTGGGCAAAGATATATGATACCACGATCCGCTGCATGCAGGGCAAGTGTCGTACGCGTCCGTACTTGACGACCCCAGCAGGAACACGTAAGTCCCAAAATTTAAGAGGCGATGATTGTTAAAGCAGGACTGGAGCTTCCGTGGCTAATGCTACTGCTGTAGCGAACCGAAATGAGAAAAAAAGCAGCTGAATTAATAGACCCACCTCCTCTTTGATGCTGTCCTTGGGGTTGGCAAAGAGGACAACTAGGCAGCTTAGCGCGCCGCAGTCGATCACCGCTTGGGTCTGCTTGGCGCTGCCAGCCGCGATGTGGCTCGCGAGGCTTAGCGCCGCGAGGACCACATACGGCGACGGATGTCTGCGGTGAAACAAAAGTCAAATGTATATACTGCTCAAGGTAGTCGCACATGTTTTCAAGCACATGTTTTCGCGGTTCCATCCAGCGGCTTTTTCCGAGACGCAAGCTGCAAGTCCCCCCGCGCAACAAGCATTGCTCTGCAAACTGTCCGGGACCCAAATCACGCAGCAACAAGCAATCCACCTTACTTTAGGAGCTCAGGAAGGCGGCGACAGATTCCTAATTCAATAATTTCGTCGACGTAGCTACTCGCATAGTTGCCTTTAGAAAGGTCCGCCAAGGCCCAACACGCTTCGGTGATAACTTCTCCGTCGCTGTGGTCGACGAGGCGAGCAATTGCCGGCAGCGTTTGCTTATCCTGTAGGCATGACAAATTAAACGGCTGACCCGACAAGGAGGCTGTGATACTGGGAGTGGGAAGAGTGCAAACCGCTGCAACAGGTAGTCAACCCATCCCCAAACTTACCAGCAAACGAGGAGATGGCCCTCCCTTACAAAACAAAAAAAGCGTTCGCGATGCGACGCGAAGCGTGGACAGCTTCACGTCGCGCTTGAGCAGGTCTAGCAGTGGCGGCAGAACGTTGCTATCGAGCGCGTAGTCGCGCCACTTGGGCGAGTCATTGGCGATTTCACCCAACGCCCCAACTGCCTGTGAGAAAACAGTCACCCAAAGTTAGTACTGGTCAGCATGCATGGAAGTTCCTAATTGCCTGATCCATACCTGCTCCTGAAGGTCAGGGTCGGTCGAACCAGGGGCTGAACTTATGAGACTGACGCAGATGGGCACCACCTTACGGTAGACGCGAAGCTTTACATCGTCGGATAAGCTGAACGCAAGACTTGCCAGCCTCAGAGCAGCCTCAGCCTGCGCTGGTCAATCGCAAGCTCTCCCATCATCGCAAACTGTCAATACGGGACAAAAGTGCACGGATAACAACAGGAACCTTACCTGAAGCTGGGGCCTATCGGAGGGCTCCAGGAAACCAATAAGGACCTCACAGAAGTCCTGCAAGTGCAGAACGACGCACAGTGGGAAAATTTTCGTCGACAGAGAGCGGACAGAGGACGGTTGCCAGGAGATTGCCACAGGCCACAGACGAAAACATGCCAAGCTTACAGGTCCTGCGGATCGGTTCATGCTGTCTGCTGAAAGCCCCAAGCTGGCCAAGTCCTGAACCAGCAAGGTAGTGCGGCCCGGTGACCCCGCAAACCCGTCAGCTGCCTTCATTTCTGGTTGTTTCGCAGGAGGCAGGCGTGAGATGTTTGTAATGTAGATGGTAGCGCCCTGTAGCGCTTGAGAAAGCTTTCCTGCCAAGCCCAACGCCTTAAAGCAAAACAGAAAATTCGCGGTGCCCCAAATGGATAACTAAGCAACGTGTGGGCTTTGCAGAAGACGAAAGAGAACAGCGAAGCTATTCCTGTTACGCCAAACAAGTGTACGGGCACGTCCGGGCACGGCATTTTTAAACACTTCGACACCAGGAGCCATAAGTTGAGGCACTGGCGCGGCATGCGTTCTGGGCTTTGCGCCAGGGTAAGTTCCTTGCCGCATCGGTGGGAGCCACCATCGCGGCGGCGAGAGGTGGCCCTGCGCAGCAGGCGGCCTCCATTGCATGCCTCGGGGAATCGCTGCAAATGTCAGTGGAGTTGAAAAACTGCAAGACAATAAAGTCAAGATTCGAGATAGCCGCACTTGTAAATGTCAGGACAGCAAAAAACATATGACGCAAATCTAGCCAAGTTACGAGCAGCTAGATGTCCCGCATACCAGGGAGCAAGTACAATCCGCACAAAATAGGGCCTTACGTATCAAATACTAAAATCTTGATCCATCCCTTGCTGTTGTCCTTGCCATGTGCCTGTTTTCAAGCAAAGTGAAGGTGTGACACCCAGCCACGTAATGCATAGAATATAAACATAATCTTGCAGATAAGGTCATTTTAGTAAATGATCGCCTGCAGATTTACCTGCTTTCTTTGAAGAGCCGCTTCCAAAAGTCGTGGTACCGTTACGCCGTACGAGTACTGTGTCGTTTTGGCGCAGTTGTTCTCCCTACTGTACTTACAGTTTTATTTATATTGTGAATTCACCATATGGTTACCATGCTATATTGATGATAACATGTGAGTCGTATTCATCTCGCTGTACTGTTCTTGAATAATGCAAATGATCTTGGCATGTTACCCAATCATTTATTCGTATTATCAACTTATTCTGTAAGATGGGTTGCGCGAGCTCGGTTCCTGAACGATTGGATACCCCTACAGTAGGCGCTGAGACGCGTTTGCCCCTCGGGTCGGAACAAGTTGATATCAGTGGTAGTAACTGTACTGGCCAGCTTCCAGGCACTACCAGCGCTGGACAGTCCGACGCAGCAACATCGAACCATTTGCGTGCTCGGCCTCCCAACGGCTCCTCTCGAGGATTGGCGCAAGTTAAGCATCCCATCAGCCTGGCAGGATGGGACCTTGTTGTTGTAGACCTCCCGAACACTGTTCCGGGCGTTGCTTCGGTTGGCGCACTTGAACCAGCCATCTTGCCGCAACCAGCCCGCAAAGAGGAGCATTTGGGAGCCTTCGCGTCACCCATCCTATCGAGCCAGCAAAAATCAGGCGTTCTGCATCAATCGGCGTCAAAGCGCGCCAAAGCCACGGACTCACAGTCTGATGGTGGATCCCAAACTCTATCCAGCGGACCGGCATCCCCTGGCTTGAGGAGACTTGAGCCGCAGCTGCCCGGAGAGGAAGCTACCACAATCCAAGTTGAGCGTGTTGCGGAATTTGAAGCACCTCTCTCCCGCGCCGGTGCGTCCCTTTCGGCGTCACCCGTAACTTTGGCAGATGGCCGCAAGCTAGTTCTTATCGTCTGGGACATCGAGCACGTGCGCTGCCCCATGCTGGGGGGAAACAGCATGGGGAAGAAGAAGAAGAAGACGAAGAAAAATAAAAAGAGGAAAGAGACAAGAGGCACGGTCCAGGGAAACCCCAACAACAGCAATACCAACAACGGCGGCAGCAACAGCGTCCCCAAGCAGCTGCAGCAACAGCAGCAGCAACAGCAGCAACAGCAGCAGCAACAACAGCAGCAACAGCAACAACAGCAACAGCAACAACAGCCGCCCTGGAAACACCCTCTGTCCCCCCAGCACGTCCTAGGGTGAGTGGGGGGCTTGGAAGCGGAGCGGGACACCCTGTCCCAGATGGATGAGGGACTCTGCACGGGCCCCACGAGCTGCACGTGGTATAAGGGAATCAAATAAAGGAATTTATTAGGAAAGGGCTATAGTGGAGAAGTGAACCCTTTTGTGTTTTGAAACCCGCATGCTGCCGAGTACATGCGCTTCCGCGCCTACGGGCTGGCCGCCATGCTCCCCGTCGTGCTATAAAGCCGACATCCTTCAGCCTCTCATGATACAACCTACAACCTCCCCTCGCCATGCCCCTACTATCCTGCCGCCTTGCGAGCTCGACCCCGGAACGCCCTCCCCTCCCCTCCCCGGGCCCCTGCACTGCACCAGGTACCTGAAGCAGCACTTTGTGTACAGCAAGGGCCGCATCGAGTATCGCACGGTTGCAGCACTCTCGGCGGCGACCCTGCGCACGCTGCTAAGGTTCCACGAGCGCTTTGTAGAGCTGGTGCGTCAGTTCTCATGTGCTTTCTGTGTCGTACCTTTCATGTGCCGTGTCTATCGACTTGTTAAGCACGCATTGTTACAAGCACTGTTATTCTTCCACCAAGGCCCGACAACCGCGGCCCGAAACTACCTGGTAATATGTTTGATATGTATGGTGATGGCGGTTAAGCACTTGTTCAGGGCAGGACGGGGAGGGAGGTAGATCCCGGGATCCGGGCTTTTGGGAGAAATTGTAAGGCCTTGTGACTACACAGCTGCACTACTCCAGTAAAACCGACGTCCGGCGTTGCTCTATGTTTTCTTTCCTGTTTGCCAGATCAACCATCCCTGAACGCCCCATGCAATATGCGCCCCAATGGCGTCTCCGTTGATTCCGGGCCCCCGCAGGCGGTCCCCAATGTGAGTCTGATGTTGGCGGCGAAGGACAAGACCAGCACGGTACTTGCCAAGGTACAATTGAATGCGTTAGGTGGAGGGGGGAAGGGGGGAGACGAACCTCGAACGAGTGAAGCGGATGCCAAGGATAGGCTGATAGTGGGGAGGGGGGGGGGGAAGGGCCCTGCTGTTGACTTTTTGTTTGTGAGTGCGTGCAGGGGTAAAGGATGGCGTGGGGTGGGCACGTATCTGTGTGAGGAGGACAGGAAGTAGGTGAGGGGGAGGCCAGGTAGGCAGCCAGCCAGCCAGCCAGGCACTCAGGCAGTCGGTAGACATATGATCGGTAGGGGCCACCGACGCCGTTCTAGGGTTCCGTACCTGCTGGGTAGGACCGGGCAACCGACGGACCAGCAGCCAACCGTGCAAATGGATTTGATCTGAGCATGCATGAGCCTTGCATGGTAGGTGACCATTGACCAACTCCACCAAGGCGGGGGACCGGCTACGTAACTGGCGCCTAGCGGGGAATGGAGCTTTCGCTTGGGAATGAACTTAAGTGATCGCAGGGGAATTATAGCCCGGGGAGGCCAGGTAACATGGAACTTCAGTCGCCACGCGCGTGTCCAGGTCCGTGTCTTGCCTTTATTTATTTATTGTTTACTTATTTATTTATTTATTTCTTAAGCCCATCCACGCGCAGTCATCATTTATTAATTATCCGCCGCGCTCCCTTGCCACTCACTGCCGGCACCGTTGCCGCCGCGGACGCTCGCACGTACCCGTATAGGAGGTCCGCAGCTTCATGGCTCAGCACGCGCAGCTCGCCCGGCAGAACCCTGGCCAAGTGACCATCGCGCTGGTGGCCCGGGATGACCACTTCCAGGACATTCGGCAGGTGACTGGGGCCGGAAAGAAGTAACTTGAGCGATATTACGTGTTATGGGATATGGCGATGCCTACGGTTTGTGCATGACTTTTTGATCATCATGATCGTTTTTGTATCGATTCCTCTTATCAGCTATTTCATCCTTCTTCACAACACCTCTGCCACACATTTGCACCGGCTTGGCATTACATCAGCATCACCGCGCGCCTTGCTTTGCTTTGCCTATTATTTGTAAATGCATGCATGTAGGAGGCTGCGGAGGGCGGCTTTTTTGTGGAGCTGTTGCCGCAGTGCCGTTGGGTGGAGTTTCTGCGCCATCACAGTGGCCAGCAGACCGTGATGCTGATCAAATAAGGTGCGTGCGTGACTGCTTGTGCTTTGCCTAGAGTAAAACAGAGGCTGCGACTGGGCACACGTTATCACGAGTATGTGTACGTGTGTGGGGAAAAGGATGCGTTGGGTGATACAGATAAGGGTATCGAAGTATACCCATCGAGATTAGGTTATGGGGAGATTGTCCGCGGGTGCTACGTTACGAGGGCTATTAGCCCTGGGGTTAGGTAAGGGCTCAGGTAATGTAGAGCGGTCAGACGAGCAGTGAGCAGACAGCCATCTTTTGGGTTAGTTTGGGTAAGTGGGTTGGCGCAAAATCGGGCAGCAGTCAAAGCGTTCCGCTTATTGCGTGGCGTGATGGGGGGGAGCATAACTGTGAGGTGCGCGCGTGGCATCAAGGGCGCGTGGCCTTGCCTTACGAAAGCTTAAAACCTTGACACTGTCAGGGGTTTCTCAGGTCTCCTAAGAAACCTGGAAGAAATGAAGTTATAGGCTTCACATAGAAGAATGAAATATCCTTACTTCACAGTATTCGTAACGAGCCGTCTTTAACGTATCGGACGACACTCCGAGACGCGTGCCTGTGTCGGTTTGGGAACCAAAGGTCACGTGGCCGTGACGCGGCTTCTTCCATATCAGTATGAAATTTGTATTTTCCAGACTTCAAGGCATTGGTAATCTCAACAGAATTCTGGGAAGGAGATGACACGTCGTGTTCGCCTCATCAGGCTCCAGTGACGGTTAAGGATAGACTCCACTAAAAATCTGTTTGCTGCTTTTTTATACGGCATTTCGCTTCTAGTTCCGGTGCGTATTCTCCCGTCTGAGCTGCCATGTCAAATTGGTTGTTCGACTTACTAAACCAATCGTATCGCGTGTAACACCTTAAACAACGTGGAAAATGTCCAATCATTAAAAAAATCTGGTGAAAATTTGTGAGGACAGAATAACACCTTTTTTTGGGTTCAGAACGTGTACTACAAGCTTGCCTTCAAATTGCTGGATTTGCAGAAGCAAAATAGACTAATGCGATTGGTTCATTGAATAACGCTACGGCAGATGACAGTGCAAAGATGGCGGTTGCGGGTCCTTCTGCTGGAGACGCTCCCCTCAAGTCCTCCGGATGTGTCCGTGCCACTCTTTGGATATGAAGGCTTATAATTAAAGAATGGGCTGTGCACAGTCATCCCTTGAAGCGGTGGACTCGGCAACCACTTCCGATGAGCTAGCAAATCCAGCAAGGTTGCCCGGCACTGCCGATATAACCCAACAGGACCAACCCATTCAAATTCTTAACACATCGAACACATGGAACACCAACCTGCAGCGTCCAATTATCGTCCCGGACGGGCTCGCCGCAGCATCTTCGAGCGACGAATGCTCAAGGCCACAACGCAGCTCAAATCACGAGATGAATCACCAAATACAAGGATCTCGAAACAACTCCAGATCCAGCCTAAGCGCTTCGGCCGATGGCTTGGGCATTACTGCCTTAGTCGATGCGTCAGTTCCAGATAGCGGAACACAACCACCTGGATGCATCTGCAGCCCAGCCCAGCCAAATGGCATACCCACATCAGGCCCCCTTCTTGGGAATGGACCTTCACCCTCCTTACAACCCCAAAAAATACATCAGCTAGCTGCTGTCAACACGATCCCAACTCCACCTCCAGCTCGTGCAGCCTTGCCGCCTGCTGCATCCCAGGCGGGTGCCGCACAGCGTGCGCTGCTACCGCCGCTACAACATCCACCAACGCTGCTACAGCAGCAGCATGAGCAGCAACAACAGCGGCTCGGTAAGCCAGCCGCGGACGTGGACCGCCAGACGGCGCTGATACAGCCAGTAGGAAGGTTGAAAGACCAGCAGCTGGTTCCCCCTTCTCAGGAACTCGGCTCTTGGCCGGCACAACAGCAACGGCAGCAGTTGCAGCAGCACCAGCTACAGCCTGCGGGGCCCCCAATGGACCACCGTATGCTGGTGCTCATTGTGTGGGACATAGAGAACGTGCGATGCCCCAGGGGCAACGGGCCCTGGGACTCCGTGCTAACACCGGCCAAAGTTTTGGGGTACGTCGTGCATGGGGGCAGAGGCCGGGGCTGTCGACGGGGCAGAGGCCGGCGTGGTTCAGGAGCTAGAGTACGGCAGAAGGTTGCTCGAGGAGGGGACATTAGCTCCCCTGCCTGCCCTCCCCTCCTCACCGCCCTGGTCTCGCCTCCTTGTCATCTCTTCTCCTCACCGTCCCGGCTTGCTTTACTTTCGGACCTTCCTCAGCCCCGTCTGAAACACGCCCCATTTTGATGCACGGCGACCGCGATTCAACTTTACACGTATCTTTGCATGCATTCGTGCAGTTGAGCACGGATTACATGTGAAACGACAGCAGACTTAGCGACATCACAAAATATGGAGACAGACATTCCGCACAAGCTGTACGGACCGCACGAATTGAGCCCTATCCTACGCTCTACCTAACGGCTGCAGGTACATTAAACAGCATTTCATTTACGAACCTGGGCGCGTCGAGTACCGCACTGTGGCGGCTGTGACGCCCAAGAGCCTCAGCATTGTCCAGAAGCGATATGCGGGTTTTGTGGAGCAAATGGTTCCGGAGCTAACTCTGTTGGTGGCAAGTGCCCAGGAGCCCAAGCGAAATGCGGACGTCATGCTCAAAAAGGTGGGCGGTGGATGGGGCTTGTTAAAATGGCCAGGGTGATGTGGGCTAGGGTGATGTGGACTAGGGTGATGTGATATCGGAGAACATTCCTTCAGTCATCCGGAAGCTCTGGCATGTAGTACGGCATCTCCAAGGGCATCCATGTTCCGCATGTGCACCACAGGAGTTGTACCGCTTCGTGTCGGAGCATGCGCACATCGCGCGGCTGTATCCGGGGCAGCTCACGGTGGTTCTACTCAGCGGTGACGAGGACTTTCTGGAGCCTGTACAGGTTCGTACGGGACCTGCCACATACATGTGCGTGCGTATGTCCAAACGCACCTGTGTGTGTTTTTGGCGTATGTATGTATGTAATGGAACTTCCATTGGGGCTTAGGACGCGGGAGATACTCGCGGTGTATTGCAGGGTAGGCTGAGCAGATGAGGGGGTTCCCTTGAACCTGTATATATGTGTATGCATGACAACCAACTTAACCAGCGCCATCCTTGTGCCTGCGTGTGTGTGTCTCTCTCTGTGTCTGTGTCTGTGTCTCTGAGGTTTCCTACGATGTCCCAGACTTTTAATGCAAATGTTTCTAATACATACAGACTGTCTTAAAATACATACAGGCTGTTTTAAATACTGAGCTTCCACGACGTGCGCAGGTAGCGCTGAACTCGGGCTTCGCGGTGGAGCTCATGCACCACGACAAGCCTAGCTGGGCCCTACGCAACCAGCAAGGATACGCCCGACCGCCGCTGCTGTGGGCAGATTTCCTCAAGGAGCGAAGCGGGGCCGACGTCGTCAATCTGCCGTACAATGGAAGGCGGTAACCGGCTAAAAGCTACGTCAGTCGCGGTGGCGATGGCCAAGTCGGGCTGACTGGCTGCAAAAACGAGGCTGTCAGGAACCTTTGCTTTGCTTGGGAGTTGCCAGTTGTCGGGTATCAGCTGGCCTGAATAATAAACAGTAGGATCTTAGGAAGTTGTCTGTTCCGATGATTGTCAGTTGTTTGTTGTAAATATCCTGTTTTCCACGACGGAACATGTGCACGGCATAGGTGTTGTAGTGCGTACGGCAGATGTACGAAGAGCCTGAGTGGAGTCGAGAGCCCGGAGGTAGTGCGTCTGCGCCCCACAGGCGAAGTTGTGTAAGGCTGGTGGGGAAAGCGGCGTGCTGTGTGTGTAGTTATTACAGTGCTGTGCTGTGCTGCTTTTTGTGCGTGCGCATGCATTGCGCTGGGTGGGAAAGGTGTCCCAAAAAGATTAAAGCAACCGTGGAAGGGCTACTTCTGATGAAAGTGAATGAACGTGATGGGCGGTATATTGCTTAAGAGACTCATGACCAATCTTGGATGGCCTGGGAACTCGGCCTGGGAAAATGAACTCTGCGGGAATAAATTAACGTGATTTCATTTTCCCCCGGGCATTGAAGAAGTGCGGTGGGCAGGCGGTTAATAAGAACCTAGCAATTCATGAGGAGCGAAAGCGATGAGATTGGCCGCAGCGGTGTGTGCAAATAAACATATGAGATTTATGCATATCGTAGCGTACTCGACGTACAGAGCAGGAAAGCAGTGCGGTTTTGTTGAGGTGTGGATTGCGATGGTGGCACCGGCAACGGAATCCGGCTACCGTATGAAATAGATCTGTTGGTCAAAACAGCAGCAAACGGCTTCTCGTTTGTCTGTGCGCATTTATGGCGTTTTCTAATTACTTGCTCCTCGCGTATCAAGAGAGCCAACTGAACCCAAGCAATGAAACCTAGCAAACGAATGGCGCCCATCGCGCAGATTGTGTAACCGGCATGGCAGGCATGCGTCATATTCTTCGAGGCTATATGGTGTTGATGGGTACTTCCTTTACTTTCGCGAATTCCCCAGGAAATTTTCCTTCGGGACCAATTTTCACCTGAGCCGACTAAAGGTCCTAACCGGACGACTGTGCGTCACGGTGCCGTTAGTGGGTTGGTTGCGACTTTCGACAAGGATAGCTGTACATGGCCGTACGGCGTTGCGTCTGTGACAGGTTGATGAGCGACTCTTTAGACAGAATCACCTAACAGCTCTTGATTCACGTTTCACTTGACGCTTGTGTTTCATCTTTTGTTTGTTTTTGTGTTTTTTAATGACGGCATGACGCGCTCGGCATTATCCTGGCATGCGCTTGTTAAGATGGCGACCAGGTGCTCTCATCCCCTGAGTGGTTGAGTCTACCCACCCACCCACCTACCTACCTACCCACCCACCTATCTACCTACCTACCTACCCACCCACCCACCTACCTACCTACCTACCTACCCACCCACCCACCTACCTACACCTACAAGAAAACGGGCATCCAAAGTTCCAAATAGTGGAAGTCCTAAGCGATGAAGTCACCCAGTCAAGGTTCCGGAAGTAAAGCCTCTTTGCGAAGCACACAAATTTGTGGGCCCGAAATATTTTGTGGTGTAGTCGCGAGCAAGGGAGGCTAGCAGAACCGGAAAAGTGCTACGAGCAAAGAGTGAGGTGTGTGGAGAGGCAACACAGCCGAGACGAGAAAAACACGCATGCCCTCACCCCATCCCCACGATGCTGACTCTGGTGGAACCGGCCGCCTGCGTGCCGTAGCACGCGGCAACAATTACACTCGTGCACACGTAGCACGATGAGGCTCAGTTCGTTACAATACGACACATACGCGACTGGACACCTCCGTTCACTGCCCCTTCTAACGCCGCATGCATATTCCGCGTCACGCACATCCCCCTTACTGCCGAATCTATATAAGGCCGCCTTCACACCACAAACAGTGAGGGTGTGAACACTCCCCAGATCTATGCCTGCCGTGCACGCGCGCGTCCTACCCATATATCTCCCACCAACGCATGAGTGCACGCATCACACGCCACCCCTATAGTTCATGTGCCTCTCCACCTCCTCCTCCACCTCCACCACTACCCGGGTAAGTTCAACTCCAAACTCTCCAACCATCTTCCTCCCTTGCTTCACTGCCGCCGCCTGAGAACACCTCCTACTGCTCCGCCTACACCAGCACCTCCACCTCCTACTGCTCCGCCTTCCGCGGCGCTCTGAACAGCAGGCTACAGCAGGTTAGTGCCCCATCAGCCTTGGCCAGCTCGCTCATGGACAGCGTGTGCAACGTCATGCCTCGGGCCTCACACGCAGCCCGTACAATGGCCTCGCTGGCGGGGAACCCCGCCTGCATAACCACGTGGGCGCCTGCGCTCAGCACGTTGGCCGCCAGGGTGTCCGGTACAAAAATGAGATCCAAAGGTGTCGTACCGGCACCCGCAGCAGTAGCTGGTGCCGGTGCCGATAGTGATGGGGAGGACAAGGAGGAGGAAGAAGGGGTCTCTTGTTGTTGTTGTTGCTGCTGATGATGAAACTGATGATGATGTGGGAGGACCGCGCGGATTTGATCTGCTAGGGCATGACCCATGGGGCTGTCGGCCACCAGCAGTGTGTGCGGGTCCTGTGGAGTGGGGCCGGGGGGGTATTTGTGTGGGGGGGTTGTATATGAAGGAATTATTAACCGACCGTAGGAATTGATTAATTCATCTGTCTGTAGGAAACAATTACATTAAATGAATAAAATCACTACCGCTTGGGGCGCACCAGAGCTGACAAGACGCTTTTGAAGTGCAGTGTATTGTTGTTGTGGGCAGCGACTGCGGCGGCGTTCGCGTCGGGACCAGGGGAGCTTACGACCTTGCCATCCGCCGCCGTAGCTGCAGGCATTATGGCTGTGGTGGCCGCAGCGATAGCGGCATCCTGTACGGAAAAGACGTACAGCGGCGGGCCACCGGCGGCCTTCAGCAGCGCTTCGAGCTGCGCTACTGCCTCCTTGTTCGTACGGCGGCTGGTGCCCACAAGTACGGCCCAGGGCAGTACGAGCACATCGCCGCCGTCAAGTGTTGCGGGGTCGCAGAGTCTGTCAATATGGGAAATGCCGAGTGACTGCAGCGCCTCCACAACAGGGTCAGGCTCCCGCTGGCGTGAAGGTGCACCTGTATGTATGTACATATGTATGTATGTGGGTGGGGGAGTTTGTTGCTTGTAGTTATGCTGCCAAGCCACGGTGGTGGTAAAACACAAAGACGGGGCGCGAAGATCGCGGAGGGAGGCTTGTAGCGCATTCGTAAGGGAGTGCATACGAGTTTGGGTTCACACCTGGGGTCTACGGTTTCACATTGGGCAGAATGATACAGGTCATCAAGCCACGCCTAGATTGGAGGAAGGGGACGGGGCGAGGGTTTGAACCCAGAAGCAAACCCCAAAATGTTTAGTGGATCTTGCACGTCACACCGAGAGATATACGAGATCGTGCGGGCTTTACCTGGGCGTGTGATCACTGCATGCGACTCGCTGATGACGAGGGCAGTATCCTCTATAAACACGCAGTCCGGGCAGCTATCATCCGCTGGAATCTCAAGTACGTTTGGAATGATCGATTTCAAGAGTTCGTTGTATTTTTCATGCTGATTATAAGCCACTTTTACATCAATGGGCTCGGCTGGGGGCTCCAAGGCAAGCGCGTCTTCAAAAGTCCGCGCAAGGCCACGAGTCAACGCATGTGTCACATGGAAGTGCGTGGACATCTCTTGTAAACCAACTCTTAACTATTTTCGTACCGGGATGAAATCAGGTAACTGTATCCGAACTCGCGTTCTAAAAGCCGCGATAATGCGGGTGGAAGAAGTTCAACCCAGCCTCGTACATGTATTTACTACCATAAAACGCATCCAGAGCACAGGAGCAGTTGCAAGCATGGCTTCCGCAAGTGGCAACAGCAGCGGTGGTTATGGTTTCAGAAGAGTTAGTTATAAATCAACCGTCCAAAACATTTGCGTGCAGCGCGAGTTTTCAATAAACTTATATATTATACAATGGATTCCTAAGTAAATCTCAAAGTGCTCGTAGCACCATCACTTAGTGACTATTCCGGTTGCGTGAGTACGTACGCACGGCCAAGCGCAAAGCCCCTCAGCAGGCGTCAATGAACCCCAACGAAAGCGGCAACGTAGGCAGTGCACTAACGAGGATATGGTTGAGGGATCGTAGTTGGAGAAGAAGATTACATGAAAGATGGATGAAGGATAACTCCAGCTGCAACGGTCAGCGGTCCTGCGGTAGCTAGACACGGCAACGTTCGCTCGGAAAGCCAACGGCACACCGTCTGTCAGTATTTACGCAGAGGCGACAAAGGTAAAAGCCTGTGATGGCCTAAAACTCACAAAAAAAAATTTTGGTCGACCTACACATTTTAATTCTAATCCTAATCCTAATTCCGGCCTTCACACTTGCCGCTGTCTTGCATCGCCAACATGGCCCCACTTCGCCTGGCCAGCCTATTCGCACACTCTCGTCCCTCTTGACCGCCAAAACAAGAACAAACAGAAAACACCACCGGGGGCAGGGGCTCTACGCAGGGGGCTCCACTACACACTCAAAAAACCGAGGCAAGGGAAGACCTACCCACATCAGGCGCGGTCCCTCAGAAGGCTCTCCTAGTCCAGGTCACCCACGCAGCCAGCGAGGCAAGAGATACACGGAGGACCACAGGCCTGAGATGCCAAACCACATAAGCCGAGACACGGCTGCACAAACAAGGCAAACACAAGCGAGTACTCACACACTGGTCCTTGAAGGCCAGCTGTTCAACTACCATGAGCAACGTACACCTCCCAAGGGCGGCCACCACTACCCCACCGGTCCACGTACAACCGAGGCAAAAAACTTGTCCGCATGGCAACCTCCTCCTCCTGAGGGTTGCCAGCTCCCGGGCGCAGCCCAGCGCAAGACAAAGCAAAAACACCTATTGCTGCGGGGGGGATGACAAGCCAGCACGGCGCCCCCCTACAAAGCCCGAAGAAGGCACGCCCCACAGACGCTGCCTGCTCCCGCTTACCACACTGAGATCTTTCCCTTCCTGACCCTGGCCGGCATCACCTACTCTCCCTCTTCAAGCCACTCTCCGCCACCGCTTTCCCACCTCCTCTCCACTCCCACAAGCCACCTACACCGTCTCTACTCTGATGTCAGACAGCACAGAACCTATTCCCCTCTCTTCGACGGGCCCCAATTCCCAGGGATAGGGCTTACACACGAACACATGAGCACACACAGGCCGGCTCTGCAACTCCCCCTGCTAGACCAATACACATTTTGAAAAACCATAATTTGCATCACACGACCCTAGGCCAGGTCACTGCCCTCTCCCCCAGCCCTCCACCTGCCCAGAGCCTCCCTGCTCTCCTCACCCCCTCGCCCTTCCCACCTATCCCTACTCCTGGCTCTCTCCCCCTCTCCCTCGCTCTCCCTGCTTCCTACAAAAAACGCCCCTGACCCGACACTAGTACGGCTATTTAGGCCGTGATTTCCACCGGTGCTGCACACGCATCCGTTCCTCCACGACCGCCAGGATGGGGTGCTGCGGCCTGACTCTGTCCCAGCCGTGTCTGGGGGTCTCCAGCATTGTGAATGAGCGCAGGCGCGCCCAGAAGTCTGCCACAACCCGGGCGTGTGTGCAGGCCAGCGGTGAGGCTCCTGCTGCGCCCCCTGTTGCTGTTGCTGCCACCGCCTCGCCCCCTCCTGCCCCTGCTTTCTGTGTTGGCCCATTATCCACTGGGTGTTTAGGGTGGGTCCCTCTTGTCACCGCACCTCTCGCCAGGGTGAAGAAGTCTGTGATGGCCCACTGGCGGGATCTCTGCTGCTGGGGCTGCCCCATCATGGTCTGCACCTGCTGCGGTTGCTGTCGCCGCTGCTGCTGCTGTCCCACTGTCGCTATCACCCCCACCCCTCCCTGTCACCAAGTTACTGCTCGGAGGCAGAACGTGCCTACTTCCATGGTGGACAGCACCGCTAGGGTGATCACATCCCAGGGGGCCTGCTCACATCCGGATGGCGCTTGGGTGGGCCAGAGCTGCTGCCGGGTGGTGGTGGTCCCTATTGTTGTCTGAGCGTGTGGCAGGTGCCTGTCAATCTGTTCCCGCACAGCTCGCGCGACTGGGCATTCCCAGAAGTGGTGCAGTCGTGGTGGGCAGGGTCGGCCGGCGGTGCCCCCATATCTCCCACATCTGCATGGCTCAGTGGGCACCCAGGCTAGGTGCGTGTTGCCAGGTAGGGGCACGCCATCCACCGCAAGATGCCACAAGGTCTCCTTGTTCTCATTCTCCCAGCGCACCCCATGCCATAAGCATGCCAAAGCTGTCTGAAAGCGGCTAAGCTCGGCAATGGGGTTGGCTGAGCCCGGTTCTAGGGCATGTTCAGGGCCTCTTGCATGAAGTCGTTCATCAGGTGTATGCACCGCTTGTTGGCATGCCCGTTCTGTACCTGTGTCACTTGACTGACCGTTAGACGGCAGAGCGGCACAGTGTCCGTCCCCCCGGGGAGGCGCCACCCCAGGCGCCCGATGATCATGGTCATCACTTGTGTGCAGTCTGGCAGGGTCGATGCTGATGCTGGTGGTTGCTGCTGGGGCCCCTCCTCCTCCACCTGCTGCCGCTGTCGCAGTCTGATCTCCGCTGCACGTGCTGCCTCCAGCCAGGCCGGGCTGATGTCGCTGTGTAGGGCGCCAAGAGCCGCAAAGGTGGTGTCCTTGTCCTGCAGCTGGGCGGGGACTGTGGCTGGGTCGAGGTGCTCACGGGCCCACGAGTGCCAGGCTGCTCCCTGGAGGGTGGTGGTTGGGTCGTTGTTTGCCCCTTCCCTCACCGTACCAGATCCCCCACTGTGTGCAGTTTCCTGTATGGTGTCAGTGCCGTGTGGTATGCTTCCAGGCCTGGTCGACGGCTGGGGCCCTCGGTGTTTGCATCATTGGCTGCATTGGGCAGCAGTGGGTTGCCCCATAGCACTGCCGCCCAGCACCAATCTCCAGGTTTTAGTAGGGTTCTGCCAATGTCCTCCACTGACGGCAGGTGTCCTAGTGCCCCCACGATCCGGCTGATGTCTGCAGGGAGGTCTCTGCCACCGAGCCATGGTCCCGTGGGCCGGGTGGTTGTCAGAGCCCAAGGCTGGAGTGCAGGGTGGGTGAGCTCCAGGTAGGCGGACAGTGTGCGTACCCAGGGGTGTAGGGCCCGGGCCTCTGCCACCTCCTCATCCCCGCCTGCCCCACAGTTACTTCCAATCCTACGCCGCTACCTTCACAACCTGCCATCGGCAGTGCTTGTGCAATGAATCGCACGGCCCAGACTGCGTGGCGTGCATGGGTGTGCTGTCGGAACAGCAGCAGTCCAAAACCTGCTTTGTTGTACGTCATCCATCGCCCAGTATCAAAAAGTGCGAGGCGAAGTGGATCCTGGTCATCGCCCTGAATCCATCGATCTGACGGTCGGCAAATAAGGCGGGTCCTGCGGGTCCGCACCACAGTACCCGCAGCCGAGAGCACTCCGCCCGGGTAGCTTATATCTCGGCCTACCTGCCGGAGATTCCCTACCACGGTCCTGCCGTATTAGGATGATGTCGGTGGGGCCCGGGGCCCCAGCCCGTTAGGTTCGCTACGAACAACGGCCATGTTCGAGGCATGTGACGATACTCGTAACATGTACGAAACTCGAGTCAGATCGTTAACGAGTCAACAGTTATCGTTAACAGTAATCGTTGAAATATTATAAGGGAAATGTAGCTTACTACACCAGGATTCTTCACCCCGATTCGGGCTCGAACATTTTTGAGATTTTTCCGTTTTGCCCGAAAGGAAAAATAGTGCGCCCCGGAGCATCCCGAACGGATTTGGGGCCTTTTGAAGCATTTCTTCGGGGGCCCCACCGAAGCTTCCCGAAGGCATTTTCGGAGAAAACCGAGCGATATTCCTGCGTAGATTTGCATGTTTCCGGGCGCGGAACGGGCCTGGGAACCGGCCAGGAAACCGGCCAAGCACGCGGGCTTGCAGTATAAGGCCCGCTTGGTCACCAGTCAAACAACAAGTACAAATGTGCATTGCAGCAGTATCGCACACACTTTCACACATCTAAGCAATATCCATATCCCACATCTAAGCATATCCATAATTAAACATGCCCGAGTCAGCGGATGATGAGTCAGCGCTCAACCAAGGTGCCCCCCATCTCCCTCGGGATTCGCGGCTCCATTAAGGCATCTGGTAAGTTCCTATCATACAAGGAGTATAATAGTGGCGCTATGAAAGTTCTTTGTAACACAGACCCCCGACATTGTCGAGAGCGTAGGGGCTGCTGAGGTATGATGTTGAGCTCGAGGCCTCAGTTGATGCACCCAGATGCACACCCTGGATCGGCGGCAATTGCTGTATCCTCTGTCTCTGAGGATGTGCGGAAGATTGGATGAGGAGGGATCTTAGATGTCTTCTGGATCATCGCCTTAGACTTGCAATTCGTATGGCGTAGTACAGCGTGGTAATGGTGGATGGTGGGATATCCACTGTTGGACCGAATAATCCAACATGCAGAAGGGAATCAATGGATGGGACAGACAGCCAGTTACGCAGCCTGCTCTTGATAATGCGGTGGACGCTAAAGCCACGCTTAACGCACGCTGTTTGGGTGGGCAACTTTGCCGTTAGCAGCAGGAGTAGAAGCGACTGGGGATTTCGGTGTAAACTCCGCATCAGTTCCCCTAGGGGAACTGGTTCTAGGCCTAGAACCCGGATGGGCTCCTGCACCGTATTGCCAAGGTGGGCGACTGTGTTCTGCCTGATGAGAGTGATGATGAGGGCAGTGTGGGCAGTGAAATTGCTGAGGCCTATTATCCTTCTAATAACGGGGTGTACCCGTCTGAGGAGACGGACGATGATGATGATGTGGCAGGTGTGGTGGAGGCGATTGCTGCAGAGGTGGATGAGGAGCGGCGCCCCATTGGTTTTGGGTAAAATCCCCGCCTGAACGATTGCTCCCAGGCGCCATGTTCCAAAATAAAGTCAAACACCTGTTTATTCAGCCATCCTAGCTAAATTTTACCTAGCTAAATTTTACCCTGAAAACCGCCCTATGGCATAAAACGGATTCCCGAGATACCACGATACTGTAGGTTGCTAACGTTTACACCTTAAAACCGCTTCAGACAGGTTCGGGGTGCCAGAAAACATTGTCAGGCTGACAGGAAAACTTTCGGGGAGGGCCCCGAAAAGTTATTCAGAGGGTTTCGGACACGACCGAAATTTTTGGGTACCCTGGTGAAGAACCCTAATGCCCTCCCGAAGCCGTAGAAACCGATTTGCCGACCTCTGAACGTCATCATCAACAACATCACACAACATATGACAAGCTCTATAACAAAGTGTACTATTATCTATATTATATAGATAAACATTTGTATAATACACGGTTGCAGGCGGACAACGAAGTATTTGTCCTGCCTGCCTGCAGCTCCAGCAGGAGGGTAGGATCCGGGCTGGAATTAGGGAGGAGCTCTGTCGCAGAATTAGCCTGGATTTTATTCCTGACAAAAGAATTGCTCTGCCGAGGTCTGGAATTGTTCTGGCGGACTCGCCGGAGGTATTCGAATTGCGCTGTGGAGCCTCGGAATTGGGCTGTGCTGGGCCTGAATTGGCCTGTCCGGGTGTCGAATTGGCCTGTCCGGGTGCCGAATTGGCCTAACAGGGTATAGAATTAGCCTGACGGGGTATCGAATTGACCTGTTCGGGGTGTCAAATTGGCCTGACAGGGTATCGAATTAGCCTGACAGGGTGTCGAATTGGCTGTCAAGTTGGCAGGATTGGCTCGGGCTGGCATCCAAAAGCACATGACTTTTAAGGAATTTACAGAAAACTTTGCAAGAGGACCGCTTACAAGTGCCTCATGTGCGTATTAGTTTCGATCCCACGACATGGAGTGGGAAAACTTGCACACCTGGTTACCGTACTCTGGCACTACTACTACTACCGGAGGCAAGCACTCAGGGCCACGACTGCATTACCCAGTCAAGTCAGCCGCCGAGGTCCCACTGTTTTCCCACCACACTTCATCGGCAGTTCGTCCAGTTTATCCCACAACACTCGTATGCATGAATAGGTTTGGGTGGAAACAATGACAAATCTCTGATACACAGCTAAACTCAGTACCACGAGCTACATTGAAAACAAATGAAAATGCAGATGTCTGCCGAGAAGAATATGTTCACCATATGCAATCTATGCCTTAATCCATCGAGCTCTCCGTTGGGCGGGGCATGGCCCATGAAGTCGCCCCCGGTATTCCGCCCATGCAACCAAACACTGACACAAAACGTTGCACGCATGGGCCCATGTAAACCACGACACTTCCGTGTGGATTGGCTACCCGCGCTCCCCATGTCAGGGGTCCTCCCTCCTGCTGTTGACTCCCGGATTGCCCACGCACAAACGCCAAACGTTGGCGCAGAAAACAGACAGGCCATTGTAGTATGGCATCAAACCACGCATAATCCACAGCGGCTTTCAGCAGCAGTACTGCTTGGTGAATGCGACCGGCCGTGTACTGCCAGTCTTAGCACCGATGAACCACCCCCTGATGCAGCCGCTGATGCAGCAGGCATATGGGTCTACACCGCCGAGCTCTGACCAGTTTGTTTTGAACTCGCCTACACAGGGTTGTAAAACAAGGGGGGCATTTCTGTTGTCATATGGTATGATGTTTCATAGACGTCGGTATGTATAACATTATGCAATTGGGTGGGTGGGGTGAGGTGGGTTCCTCCTTTCTAGGTTGCCCACTCTTCCCTGCCACACATCTCACGTCGCCACTTACCAGTAGCACCACGCGACTTGACGCGGGGTGGCACATCCTCTGCTTCGGTGATGGCGG